GGGAAGTTTGGGGGGGTGGGAGGGAGAGTGTTGGAGAGTTGATGCCGTGGGAGATGGTGGGGAGGGAAAGATAGGGAGAAAAGGGAGAGAAGTGCTGATTGTGATTCTAGTTGCGATGATTAGACAGCCGAGGAGCGTTGAGGTTGAGATGGAGGTGGAAGGGAAGAAATAATCGTTAATGAAGGGATGGGCCGGATACGGGAATACTGGGAAAGCAGCTTGGTGGTTGGGAAGAACAAATATGATGAAGTAACACACAGATCAAATATAAAAGATAGAACAGGCGTAGATACAAGGGATGAAACACCTGGGACTGTTTTTATCTTTTTTACTTTTAAATATCCTTATATATCTATCCATTCTACGCAAGAGGGACCGTTATTACTCTGAACCACACCTATGCTACAACAATGTTGTTCTACAAGCGATTTAGGACAGTTGAAATCAAGATATCTTTATTAAAGTAAGCAATCGTTAAGAATGTATTTGGTATGATTGAGTTGAATGTATGAGAAATTCTAGAACAATTAATTCTTGATTTATGTCTAAAGTAATAGACAGGTTTCTTACTACAACTATACCATAACCAGGGTTTGGCAGTTGGAATGCCATTCTATCCTAGAGGGGGTTAACGTAATATTCTATTCTATTCAAAATGACTCTAGTATTATTCTATTCTATACCCCCTATTCTACTGGAATTCTATAGAACTAAGTCATATGACCCGGAAAAAGGTATACCCTGTTCGACTACTAATAGGAAGACTGGATTCTACTAGGTATATTACTAATAGTCCGTGCGTCTTCCTATTGTAAGCTAGTATTAAAAATTATAGACTCTTATCCTAGTAATAACTATCGTAATATAGCTGACCCATATACGGCTTCTAAAGTAACAAAGACATTAAGGTAATTCTAGCGGACAAAAGAGTCGGTACAAGGAAGTTATATTATAGTACAAATCGATTAGTTTTAACTTTAATCCCTCCCTAAATCCTGCCTTCTGATTGCTTGTAAACTACTATAGAATTCTAGGGCCTATTCGATAGAATATTCCATTCTATATATAAGGTGCTCTAGAATATTCCTTTTAGAATGGAATTCCATAGTTCCATAGAATCGAGTTCCATTTGCCGATCGTTGACCATGACCTATTTAAATCTACTCTTCTATAGTGTTCCCCCTATAGTGTTCTTACAGTACCTCCTACTTCCCTAATCTTTGCCGGTGCACCTCTAGATGACCCTTCAGTACTACTGATGAAATTCAATTTCGGCTAATTTGTAGGTTCTAGTCGAACTAGCTAGAAAAGAAAGTCCGAGACGCGTCGTGCTGAATACATAGTCTGACACTTGGGCCACTCTGTGATGGCAGCGCATAAGTGAGCTCTATTCAACAAATCATGTTACTTCAGCCCTTGCCAAGTTGAATCAAATAACATTTTTCACTGCTTCAGCTGAGTTGAGTAGGTACTGGTTCTTATACGTCTACTCAACTTGGCTAATTAGATTTCATACGCTAGATCTCTAGGTTCTGTCTTATTATTCCTACCCCCAAACAGGGGTCTGGGGTATACACCGCGGTATGTACTTGATTTGACTTTGAGGTCGATGAACCAGTAGAGTTTTGTGAATTCCGGGGTACGCTACCGAATAGTGCACACGCCACTATTCTGAGTCGAAAGGGCCGTTAAAAGATTCTAAGTTAATAATGACGGCGTCACGATAAGTTAATGCACTCCCCTCCTCAAACAAAAGCTAATTTTTCTGGTGGCAGCCCACAAAAAATAACCTTTTGAGTCAGGAGGAAGGGTGGAGAGTACAGAAAACGTCGTGTTATTTTGTCTTGGCTCCGAGAGATAGCTAAAACTTATGTTCAGTTTAACAAGTTCACAAGCATCCTCCAGGTCAGTGTCAGAGTACTGTAATGCAGCGCAGAGTATATATATCGCGATGCCCACTCCCGTAGACTGAACAGAACAACAGTCCGAAACCCATCTCCACCAATAGCCTACGAATGCCTCCATCAAAACCACACCAACATGAAGCTTCCATCCACTCTCGCCTTTCTTACCATTCTGACTGCGGTGGCTGCAAAAACTTGCGGCGTTAAAAACGGTACGTCACATCTAGTATCGCCATTCCCAGCCCCAATACAACAACTGAAACTTATCTAGATGCTTGTGGCTCTACGGGGAACCTGCCATGCTGCCGCGGGTTGTTTTGCCTACCCAACGCCAATGGACAAGCTGGAAAATCGTGCGCTCTCAAGCCTGAATAATGATAAGCCTTAAGCAGCCAATCTATAGTAGAAGCGGAAAAGGTTCGTTCACGTATACCTGAAGAACCGAAACCGATATGTTAATGCGAAGCAATAGTCATTTGGGATATAGGTATCAATAGTAGAAGCGTACAGCTTTCTCCAAGGAGGTGTTGGGGAAGGACCTGTTTAGCCTAGTCCAAAAGCATACTGTAATCGCTAAGAGACAATAAAACTACAACATGCTTTTCAATGATTATATTTCCATGTATGTTTGGCTATTTCCGTCATACTTAGATAAGAGTAGTGCTCGTTAAGTGAAAAATGTCGCTCAAATATAAACATGACACGCTTTTTCACATAACCCGCCTTGGACTATACCCGACTAAGTACGTCTCTGGAACCGCTTCTGGAACGACTTTCCTTGCTAGGATTTTACAAGACAGTTCGGCGAAACTCTTACACACGCCAAGTCGTGAAGCAATTTTAAATATACAGGGCTTTTAGAATAATACACTATTCGAACCTAGGTATGTCTAGGGTTTTGCCTGACCATCTTACTTGCTATAGCCGTAACGTGTTCCTTCTTCCCCTAGAAATCAAATATACCTCATTTAGGAGTAAGAAAAGAGAATGTTCGAGTAGAGGGAAGAATAGATATACCAAAAATAAAGAGGATATAAAAAATAGATATGAAATCAGTATCAAACATACCGTAGCACATAATTTTCTATGAGGAACAAAATCTTCAGGCATCTGTAGAAAAATCCATTCACTAACCTCAGGGATCTGTTCAAGAAGATACCGTAGTAAAACATCACCCGAGAAGACAACAAAAAAGAGCGATTCATGAACTCTGAAAGTTAGAACACTCTAGTATCCCATTCTCACATTCTCCATGCCGTAAAACCCCAAACCTCAACCCCATACTCCTTGCCAAAAGAATCTCCACTCGGGGTATAGCCCAATATTTACATCCTACAACCCAAAATCTCACACTATCAACAAACCCCCTTTCAAGCACCCTTATCACTCTCAATACTTTCCCTCGGACTATCCTGTCTCGCACTCTCACCACTAAACCCAGTCTGCACACTCTGTCTCCGTGCCCCCATCGACAAGCTCGTAAGTCTCATAGGACTAGGACTCGAATCCCTCGCGCCCAGAACCCCCGGCGGCAGACCGAGAATTGGAATATTGGAATCCAGTAAGCCCCCAGCATACGGACTTCTCAGAGTCGGTGGCGTCGCGCTAGGCGGCGTAGATCTCTCCAGTACCTCCCTGTAGAAAGCCTCAAGCATCGGTGCACTACGACAAAACGTCTCGAGTTCATCCTTGATGGATTCCGGCGTGCTGGAATGATTGGCCTTGGAGCCAGGATGGCTAGAAGCCAACACGTCGGAAGTCGGACGCAAGTTGGGAGAGTTTTGATGGTTGGTAGAAGCCTGAGCGCGAACCGAGGGAGAATTGGGCGGAGAGGTCGGCTTGATCCAATGGCCGTACAAGCCCGATGGTATGCGGTGATTGCGAACATGTTCAGTCTTGACGTACCTATCTAGCTCTCTTGATGCCGAAGATACTCGATTGTTGAATAATCGGTTTGCGAGAAGTAGAAAGTCGCCCTTGTCGGTTATCTGTGCAAGTACAACACCTGATCGATGAATGTATTGTGTGTACTTGAAGTCAGGTCGGCCCCAAGAATAAGTAACGTCCACATTACTTGGGAAATTCCTGGCTGCTTCAACATCTAGAACGAAGTTGAACTTCTTCAGAATGGCTTTCTGATAATAGTGACGACTTGCAGGACTTCCGTGGATGTGGGGCGCGAAAGAGTGTACATCGAAATATGTCCTTGGTTGCTGATCTGGCGGTTGCACGATGAGCTCGACAACATAAGGACTCCGGAAAGGGTGCATGGACGTGATGTTGCAGGCTTCACCAATTGGTGCCTCCACAAGTCGAAGGCCATAAGCTTCGGCAGTGCGTGCCCAGGACTCTATTGCGTCTTCAATCAGTTTGGCAGTAACAGCCATCCAATCAATTCTAATATGATAGCAATTGTCGGGGTTATGAAGCCTGTCATAATGGAGGTTGATTCTTTCAGGTCGGTAAGATCTCCCACGCGGATCAACATCGTACTTCATCACTTTGCTCAGTGCAACCTTCGGTTTCTTCCCACCAGCTGTCGTAGGAGTAGTTGTGCCAGAATCCGAGGATTTTTCGTCGTGATGAGAACTAGATATCGATCTTTCAGGTCGAGGAGATTCTCTTGACATGGTTTCCGACATGGGCGTAGAAGGTATAGAAATATCACGTCGGCGTGACCCAAACCAACCACTGCGGCTCTCTGGGCGTTGTTTTGCAAACTCTCCTGTGACTTGGTAAAAGTATTGCCCATCTCTGAATGGATGTCGCTTCTCGACATGGACGAAGATTCCCATATATCTATCCTTATTCTTCTCTCCATCTTTACTTGCTTCTCGTTCCCTTATGCGCTGCAATTCATCCTTTGACATGAGCATGTTACCTAGCTCGACTGCTTCTTCTCTAGTGCTGATGTCTTCGAAGTTCTCAATCAACCAGGTCGTCATGTCAGATCCGATGAAACAGTTGTAATGAAGGCGAAAATGCCATCTTCGATTCTGCATCCGCACACCCCCACGCTCAACTGGTGCTTGAATCGCTTCCGCCAACGCACCTATATCGAGCTTGGACTTACGGAACCATTCGTGTTCAAGTAATTGACCTCGTCGAATGCCCACATCACCGGTCTCAAGAAGCGGAAGAGTTTCCAGCTCTGCAGTCACAACGATTGACGGATCTTCAGTCTTATAAACAATATCGAGCGGGTTTTGATCTTTGGTTTTTTGGTCTGCGAGACTTTGGTACCTTCGCTCCGAGGCACTTACGATCCTGTGTCGCTGCCAAGTCTGAGTAAGCTTTTTGATACCTTCTAAACGAATTTCTTCCTCGTTATCCTCGCCCTGCCGATTCAATTGGCCAGGCCTCTCGACAGGTATGAGCACGAAGCGGGCTCGCCAAAATCGTAAGTTCTCCGACATCTCGTCATCGAATCCTGCAATGAATGCATCTACTTGGTTCCATTTGCATTCATCTCTGGGGTTTCCGAGAACCATATCACGAGAGTAATAATTGTCTGCCAAAGTGGTCCGAATGGCAGGCTTGTATGAGAATGGAACAGCGACAGCAGAATTAGAGGTGGTAGAAGCGGCTGGCTTGCGCACAAACATATTAACCTCAATCTCGGTTTCTTTCACACAGGATAACTGATGGATTATGTTTCCCATGGACATAAATACACTTGCTCCGTCCTCCGCGATGTCTCCAGGGTCGAAAAGGTTAGCAATCTTGAGTGACTTTTGGCCGAATGCCTTTGAGACTGCCGAGCTAACTACGATTTGAAACCCCTGGGAAAGTCGCAGGCTGACAAGCTCTCGGAGAAACTCATTTCTTGACTTGACTACTTCATTCAGATCATCTTCGGTGTTTGGATATATGTTGTAAGGCTTTTGTTGGTACTCGGTATCGAGCTGGTACCTGGTGGGAAAATACTCCGTCGTTAGAGGCACTGATGCGGGGGAACAGAGAGATTTCCACTTCATCGTTCTGGTGTTGAGCGGGCGAGGGAAAACATGTTGCCATCGCCGATATTGACTTGTTCCAATGATGTCATCGGTATTGGGATTTGAAGGATTCAGTACACTCAGCCATGGAGACATAGCTCTAGCTGGAGACAAGGTTGCTGGCAACTCTAGAACTGATCCTGCAACCAGCTTCGAGTTGAAAACCTTTTGGGCGTCATCGAGCCTGATGTTCTGCAACGTAACAGTATTGTCACTCTCGACATGCTTATCGTGTACTTCGTAGACAGATCCAAGCAGTGATCGAGATTTGAATTGGTTGGTGGAGTCTAATGATTGCAGCGCACTTTTGATGGTCATGGGTCTAGTTGTTCGACCACCCAAAGCTCTTGGGCTTTCAACAGATTCAGATGAACTTCTTTCTGATGGTGGAGTCTCCGGTTGTATTTTGGACTTGTTGCTATTGGAGGATCCCGGTCTTTCTTGGCCAGTGGTGTTAAGCAAGTGGTTTGCCATTTTTCCCGTGGAGGGTTTGTTAGGATCCAACGCTCTGTGCGCAGATATTGCTGGTCGCGGTGCGTTAACATGTTCAGTCTGAATCTCTGCAACAGCAGCTTTGGGAGCCGCGATGCCAAAACCAAACTTCCCAAGCCTAATTTGTCGACCAAATTTCGCAGGCCTGACAGGAGAAGTTTTTACGCACATTGTACTGCTCAAATTTTCTCTATAAGGCTTGACCGTATCCTCTCCGTTCTGGGAATTTTGTTTCATCTTGGTTGAAGGAGAGATCTCCGTTGGAATGACACCCTTCACGTTTCTCTTATCGTCGAATGAGCTTCCAAATATCTTGGGGTCCTGAGAAAGAGTTTTTACAATAGCTTCCTCACTTCCAGGTTTGAATAGTCGTCTCCCCTCTCCATGGGTTCGTATTTCAGGCGTGACATCCTCTAAAACCTCGGAAATAGATACGTCAAACTTATCTAATGCTTTAAAGAACGATCTCTCTTCCTGTGAGGAGCTTCTATCATATAGAGGTTTTGCAGGACCATTGACAAATTCCATACAGCTGGCAAAAATCTTTTCGCGAGCTAATGGCGATTCCCGTAAAGAGGCTCTACTTCCAGGTATCTCACGGGAGCCAAAAACCATTTGAGGAAAAAGCGTGTTATGTTGTAAGGGAGTAACCGTAATCTCTGAAAGGACGTTTTCCATTACACTAGCCATTTCCATCTCATACATTTTGCAGCGGATTGCAAAGTCTTGCGACTTTTGAGTGCGTTCCTTTTTACGATGACTCCTGGTAGTTTTAGCAGCTGGAATTCCTGAATGGACATCCTGAGAAGCCCCAGTCCAAAAAGACACATCAATCCAATGGGGTATCGCGAAGGACCATTGGCTCGGGGGAGACGAGGTTGAAAAAGAACTTGTACGCACACCATGAAGTGATGCTTTATGTGGCGACAAGGATTCGTTCATGGAGGAGAAACTACTTCCAAAGATCGGTGCATTTTGACGTGGTGTGCTGTCCTCACTTCTGAATGATTTCTGTTGCAATGACTCCTGGAAAGTGAGATATAGAGGGTTTCGGTAGCGAAAAAGGGGCACGGAGTGAAGCGGCATTTTTGGCAGACAAACAAGATCAATGCCAATACCATTTCCAATCAGAGTCTCCGTAGTCATTCTCAATGTTTCGTAGTCGACCTCGAAGAGGCCTGGGGACGGTGTAACTACCACTATTGATATCCCAGTCCGAACCAAATCTCGATCAATGTAGTCATGTGCGAATTGAGAGGATGCTAGATTTATCGCCTCCAGCACGTTTCCATACATTGCCAATGATGGTCTGGCTTCTATACGTGTGCCTAGCACTTTGTTGGTGTCCTCTTTGGCACCGGGCAGCGGAGGGAGGGAGTTTATCAGGTTGATACGATGCGTAGAAATGTCTCGAAGAAAGAACCTAAATTCTCGCTTCAACTGATATAAAATTGTAGTCCATGAACCACTAGCCATATCACTAACAACAACTCGATAAAAATCTTTATATGGCTGCTTTTTGCCCTCTGGCTGCGTTCCCGTATGATAATTAGTGTCGTGGGTTGCGGTGGCTAACTCTGAGGCAATTCCTGTATCGTATTCCACTCTTGTGAACATGACGATACTCACCAGATGCTTCACCTTTAGCAAAGCCCATTTTTTGAATAGAGCTGGTAGAAATCCGTTTACTACCTTGTTAAACATGATTTCTCCGGAGCCTTCGGAGTCAAAATCCCACATCTCTCTAGACATTTGAATGAAAATGACATATCGAGCCGACTCGCTTCGAAAAATTGGCTTTGTATTTGCCGAGTAGAATGCAGATTGCACTTTTCGGCCGGCAATATAGATCGCGGTCACCTGAGCTTTTATCGTGCCCAAGAAAAGAATCTTCTGGTTTTTAAATACGGTCTTATTGGCGAGTTCTTGGAGGGCTAGCCTCCACATATCAGATCGCGAGAGATATTCGTCCTTGAATGATAATTCAACGTGAGACGCAGAACTAATAGCAGGATCGGTCTATGAAAATTAACTATCTCAATGTCAAATCAGAGGGGGTAATACGAACTGTCCTAATCAAAACCTGTGACCTCGACTTCAAATGGAACGAGTCCGCAATATTTCTCGCAACGGAGACTTCCATGTGCGGTTGTTTTGCTTTCATCTCCTTTGGCATGTCTTTGGCAATGAATAGATAGTGATTTCCAAAATTAGGATCCCGATTGTTGCTGTTTCGACCCCGGCCGTTAGAATTGGAAACACTTTGTTCACGGCGTATCGAGGGATGCAAAGCATCTCCGTCCATTTTTGAAGTTGACACATTCTCTTGTGAGTCGGCCTTTAAGGGAACAATAGCCATGAGTTCTCCAACTTCGACATCGGGGAATAAGTCAAGGTTGATGACAACGTCAGGTAGCGAAAACGGGTCACCATGAATCCAAAGGACACATTTTTTCTCAACGGGAGCCCGCAATGGCTCAGGGTCATGTTGAATCGTGCCCGCCTCCGAGGGGCCAGCGCTGTTCACTGAACTGCCATTGCTCATGTGTCGTAAATGAGATGTCCGCTGATTGCCACGCCGTGGAGTGGATGAGAACGCTGCGGACATAGCTGCTGATGAGCCCGTTGGCTGAGAAAGCAGAAAATCATGTGCCCATCATTGTTGATAACGTGTCGAAATGATCCCAATTGTCGTTGATGATGGCTGATAGGTAGTGTCAACTCGGAGTTCTTACGTTGACGTTTTGGAGCCGGTGCCGGTGCCGATGCCGATACCGATGATCTTCCGAGGTAAGGTACTTGGTACGAGTCAGGTTTAGAAAAAAGTTGCTTCACCCCTCCGAAAATCTACTGTACCTACTTGCGCATCGCAAAGCTCTATGATGGGCGATCGGTGAACGCGCAACAGCACCACATCGCAACGTTCTGGCCATGGGAAAACGAACCGCAGACGATCTCGAGGACGGAAACCAGGCCTATCTCAAACGCCAGAAAATTGGAAATGTCGGCAAAGCTGGACATACGCATGCTGTAGGAAATCTGGGCCCGCCGACTGAAATACACTCTGGGAAACAGCTACGGCAGTTGCTAGCATTTGACCAAGATTCTACGCGATCGAGGCAGGGTATGGCACAAACATGACCTTCGGCTTTGTTCTTACTAACAGAAAGTATCAGGAATACAATCTTTCAAGGCATTTCTCGAGAGTTTTGCCAGTTCTGAAAGCGACAATGGGCGTCGGATAGCAATTCTTAGGGAGTACCTTGATTCCTTCAAGCCAAATGAGGAGGAAAAAACTGCGGCACATGTCCCAGATATCATGCAGACATGGAGCTTTGCAGCGCAGTCCAATACCGAGACTTTACTATCTGCTGTTCCTGCCGTCCTTGCACTTCTACTGCGTACAATGTCCAGTATCCTCGAATTCTCCGATCATGGTATGCGATTATGTCGAACGATCCTCCAGAAGAGCCAATTGGATTTGGTAGTTCGAGGATTGACAGCAACAAAGGGGAAGGAATTCGTCATTTCTCCAGTTCTCCGTCTGCTTCGGGAAATCACCACTTTCGACGGCGGAGCTATGGCACGGCAAGTCTTCCGAATGAGAGACTTCACCCTGAAAGGCTTAGGGCGCAATCTAAATCTCCGTTATACTGGTGATGGTCAGGAAGATATTCGAAAACCATCCGTCAGAACGAATTCCTTACGATTCATTTTGTCTTTATTGAGATTCTTGCCCACGGATTCCAGGAAAGAGCTTCTATACCAGCGCGACATAGTATCAGCATTGAGCAAAGACATAAAAGATGACCAGCCAATTATGGTCCGGGAGATTCTGGAAACGCTAAAAGTGCATGTCCTACAGGATGAAGCAATACCACGAGATGGCAAAACAAAAGTTGCCAATACGACTTCGTTGAGCCGAATCGCAATGTTGTATGGCTATGACCAACCAGAGCAAGACCCAGAAACGAAAGGCAAACCTGTGGATACAGTGGCGCATGAATTTCTGCTGCTGGCATGCACTTCCAATGATTCAGGGATCCTTAACCGTCAGACTGCTTTCTATCCTCGTGGTGTCGATCCGGATGACTTGCACGACGTTGATGCCGATCAAGCCTTCCTTGACTTGGGCCTGGATAGCATTGAGTGGATGGGCCAATTTACCGAACAAGTTCCTGTACGAAACACCATACTGTCCGAGTTCATTCAGAATTTACGGCCATGGTCGAGCACAAAGCAAAGAGAGTTGATATTGGCTATTTTTGCTGCTGCGCCTGAGCTAGTGGCAGAATACTTTTTCAACAAGAAGACATTTGCATTTGATCCAAAACTCACAGCAACATGGATTGGATATTCTACCTTTCTCTTCTCTTGTCTCCAGTTGCCCGTACCCAATTACTTTGGCCACCAAGGAGGGTACGCGCAACTTCCACCTCCGCCTTCAATAGTTTTGGAATGTGTTCTTCCACAACCTCTGAGCCAGAAAGTGTTGAGAGGTTGTTTACGACATCCTCAGAGCCTGATCAAATTCTTTGCCATCAGAATGCTCTGTATTGCCTTTCGCAAATTCAAACAAATTATGGCCATGTATCAAGAGGCAGCCAATGGGACATCATCTTTGTGGAAAAAAGCTTCGGGTCAATTGACTGAAGAATTTTGCAAAAGATGTCCTTCAATCAAAGATGTGATTCATGCCTTTCGAAATATGACCCCGGAAGATATGTTGCAAAGGGAAGCAGTCACTAAACTACTCGTTTTGTATTATGAAGTCGTCCCCAGCGTTGCTCTCGATGCGAAATTCGACGTATCCGGGGCACTAGCCCAGGCACTTCGAGATACCGATGATCCATCCCTTAAACCCGAAGACCGTGGCCTGCGAGTAATGGAATTGGAAAATCTCTTTCAATTTGCTCATTTCTCGCCCGGAATGCGATGGTTCACAAAAATACAGGAGTTTCCAACAACACCGTTCATGGCCATGCTGAAACTCTCGGCTTCGGCTCCTGCTGATATCCCGTTGCTTGGACTAAAATCGGTTCTTAGTTCCATCATAGAGGAAAACCAAATTTTACAAATGCAAACTGCTATTCCTGCTATGGACTCATTCATATTGCGATTACGATCGCTTTCGGGCTCTGCAAATGCCCCAGCCATATATGCTTTCTTTGATGATTGCATTTCTCGTTGTGCAGCAAAGCCAGTCAAATATCTATTGGCACTCGAAGAAGCACACTCCAAAGTTCATGAATCCGCCGAGAAGCAGCAGCCTCTTAGTCTGTTGACTTTGGCTATTGTGGAACAATGGCCATTTCTGCTTAAAGCAACCGACGATTCAGTGCTGCCTGATGTTGCCCAATTTGTCGCATCTTATTTGGCGACCGGGATTAAAATCAAAGAGGACAAAAAGGTTATCAAGACAGTCGCAGAAGAGCTTGCTTCTGGCATCCCAAAGGAGTCATCCGCTAGGAAGACCATTGAACGTTCTCATAAATTGGTAGATGACATTGAGGTTCCTGAACCGGTATCAAAAAGTCCATCCAAGTCTGCTGGCGTTGCGAAAACCAACGGACCTTCCGAGGCGGAGAAAGATGCAGTTACAGCAAAAATGCTAGAAGATTCTCCCGTCTCGACCGAGGATCACGCATCACTTGTGAGATGGGTTTCAAAGGAAGTGGACGAAGCAGTTGAAGGGGGGCATTTGGCATCACTGATAATGCTTCTATCATCTGAGCATCTGAGCGTGCGTATGGAAGCAGCAACAAATACATCCAAGTTTGCGGCCAAGCTCAAGGCTTCTACTTTTGAAGAGAAAGAGCAGATATGGCTTCTACTTTGCGAAGTTGTGGAGACGGCCAAGAAAACAATCAGTCAACAACCTTTAGCAACTGTGGTATCAGCTTTCGCTTCTCGCGCGATCAACGTTCTCAACGACCCGCTGCACTGTCTTTATCCAAAGATCAACAAATTTCTTTCGCAGGGTCCTACGTGGGAATTAGATAAAGTTCCTTTGATGTACAAAATCCTCGATGAATCGCCAAGTTTGGACGATGCATATTATCAGGAAGCAAGCTGGCTTCTCACTGGAATGCTTGCTGGTCTTCGAACGGAATCAGATATGGCAATTTATCGTAAGCGTCGTGTCTTTGAAAAGCTCTTCAGTCTTTGGAACAGCGCCTATCTCGCCCCGGGTTTGCGCGACAAGATACTGCGTATACTTTTCAGAGCGACCACAATCGAAGGAGGCAGCACCACACTTATCACAAGGTTTAGTACCATGACCTGGCTCCAAGCGCAAGTTGCGTTGGGCTCGGGTATGTCGCTCAAGGTGTTGATGGAGAAGATCTTGGAGTCATCGGACAAAAAGCGGGTTGGGAAATGGGCGAATGGTATTGATATTGTCAAGGCGGATACTTTGAAGTTTTAGATTTTTGTACAGATACCCAGAGTTTTTGTGGCTTCTACAAGACAAGTCTCGCATATCACTTTACTTTGTATCTTAACAGCCTTTTGGTGTAAGTATCAATGATGTGCTGTATTTTGTTCAGCCCATCTCAGTGGCGACGTACATCACGAGGGCTGTACGGATCCGTGATTGCGGGTGTTTGATGAGACGGGAGTTTTTGTATAAATTCACTAAGTGCTTCTAGCTTCTGTAGCCGACCATAGATGACAATCCTTGGGCCATATCCAGGACAATAAATATGGCATTCTGAGCCCTGCTGTAGGAGTAGAGTACAGGGGTATTTAATCACACCTGGTTTCGGATGAGCATAACATATCTCCGTCATTTTTGGATACGGACCGTATATGGACCCCACAATTCGTTATGGTGAATTCAAAGTCGAACATGTGAGAATATCAAGTCCTACTAACTATTGTCATGAACTCTAGCTGAAGGTGATTAGATTGTTGAAGTCTCAAGTCTGGTGATTTATTGCCTTGTGCAAGCCTCAGGCTCTAATTCGGCTATGAAGCCCGCCTTGCACTAGGCAAATCAAGCAATACCTCACAAACACCATCAAACCGCATCCAAAAGCCCACCTACACCTGTACAACAGTGAGCCTTATTATCGAATACCTTTGTCTGTTACGCTATCCCTCATCTAATTGATACGACTACACTATCGCCCCCAAATATCTATCAGCCTCGATTTCGCAAGCACAAAAGGCAGTTTGCGCCTCGCGCTTAGCCTGCCTCTGCCTTCACAACAGCTTTGGGCAAGGCACTGGCACTTGCTCTCCTGTGCTTTTGCACACAGTCTACCCCACAACGACCCTGGACCACTGAAACCTCACCTTCACCTTCACCTTCACCTCTCTACCTCTGCCAGCTCATTTTTGTTTCCACTCCACCTTCTGCCACATCAAATCTATATCACCGCAGCCTCCCACGAAGCCTATGTGTCCTAAGATAGCGGGAAAACGAAGGACTTTATGCCATCACGATGTCACTCAGATATACCACAGATGAACTGAAAGTCCTCAGAGAATCACCCTTAGTGAAGAAACCATCAAGCCTGCCGCCAGCAGAGCAATGGATGGGGTATGCTCAAGCACCTCGGCATACAGAACACATGCTAACATATGGAAGACCACCCGCAGATCCTACTCGTAACCCACCTAACGAGAGGACGAAGAACTATGATTCTGACCTGATTTTAGATCAGCCAAACAAACGACCGGGTGCTGAAAGGCATGTTCCTCGTAACAGCGCTAGTATGGGCTTCATTCATCACTCATGAATTCAGATATACTGACTTTGCCCAGACCCAGAAGACATAATTCTTGGCCCTCCCAAAACCTCTTTCATGTCAGCGACCTCTATTCGCAGTAGTGGCAAAAGCTTCGACTCCCTTGACCGAACCCCAACGAGAGACACCGCTACACGCGAGAGATTCGATTTCCGCAGCAAAAATGGCGATGGAGATAATGATCGACGAGATGCACGCAATAACAACTTACGTGTGCGACGAAATGATGGTGATCAAGACAATGATGGGTGGAGCACAGTGAAACCCCGCAAAAGTTTTGGTAATGAAGGCGCAGAGAGGTTCAATGGAAGAATGGGCTTAGACAGACATAAAGATGATCGAAGATTCAAAGACCGAGAAGATCGTGATGTAAAGGATCGACCGCCTCGTGGTTTCGATACATATGCCAGGGACAAGGATCACGAAGACCAGGAGAGAGACGGTCGCAGAAATGGAACAGGCCGTGGTCGAAATGAGCCGTCATGGTTCAAGGATAACGGAGACGGACCAGCTCCATCGAAAGACCGTAATAGTAATGGAGACAAGTTCATGGATCGCAGCAGAGGTTGGCGCGAAAAGGAACGGGAGGACAAGGAAGACAGAGGTGGCGATAAGAACGATAGAGGCGACCGACGTGAGAGAGGGGATCGAGGTAACCAACGATGGGATAGAGAGCGAGATCAGCGTCAAGAACGCGATCCCGAATGGATGGATGAGCCTCAGGAGGAAAAGCCACAAGCTCACACACAAGAAGAATTTCAGAAGTGGAAAGAATCTATGCAAGGAAAGGACAAGTCCACAAAGACTCCAGTGGACGATAGTCCTCCAGATAATGGTGGCGGTTTCTTTGGCTTGGAATCACCGGCACAAAAGGTCGAAACACCGCTTGCTATTGATACTGGACCGGACAAATTTTTCGGCAAGTGGGCTACTCCAAAGGACGAGGTCAGCCCAGAATCAGGTGTCGAATCTCGGAAGGAAGGCATTGCAAAGGCAAAAACTACAGGGAAAGCCTCTAGATTTACGTCGTTCTTCACCCCACAAGAAGAACCAGCACGCCGACAGACAGAACCACCACCACCTATGCCGATGCAGCAACAGGGCGGTTTAGAAGCGATGTTCGCCGGAGCAGGCAGCAATTCTTCATCGCAGTCAAATGCAGAGAAAGAGGCTTTCCAGATGTTGCTCCAGAAGCTTCAAATGAATCAACCACCCCCACAAGCGGGCTCTACCCCACCCCCGAATGCAGCAATGCAGCACCAAAAACCACCACTCGTTCAGGAAAAGCAGCAACATATCCCAATATCTACGCCCGAGCCATTTCAGCAATATCGGACTGAACGTCATGGCGAAGGTCGACAGCCTGTCAATTCTTCTCATCAAGCAGTTCAAGATTTGCTTGCTCAGCGTCAAATTGCGAATAGCCAACCCGCATTGAGAGACCAGATGATGCATGATTTGGGTGGTCAACGACAAAATGCAATGAGCCAAGCTTCACTTCGCTCCGATCAGTCAGGTAGAAATAGCCAGTCGGAGTTTCTTATGGGTCTCATGAAAGCAGCTCCCGAGCCTCAGAGATCAGAACAGGTTCTATTGAGAATGCAACCGGGTCAGAAGGAGCGACACATGCAGCAACAACACCAGCAGCAACAGCAGCAACAGATGATGATGGAACGTGAACAGGAGATGCAGCAGCGCGAAGCAGCAGCACACCGGGAAAGAGAACGTTCTGCATCCCAACGCCAAATCCGTCAACCTCCACCGGGCTTCTATGACCATGAGCCACAACAGCAGGGTTTCCAGCGTGGCCCGCCACCACAGCATGAAAGACAACCTGGAAACCCGGTCCATCCAACCCAGATTTTACAACGTCCTGGGCCACCAGGACTTGGACCGGATATTGGTTGGGACCGTCCTACACAACAACTTCCACCTCAGCATCGTATTCCAAACATCCCTCCTCCACCTGGACTCGGAACCAATGGACCAAACCGTGCTATGCCAATGCCGCAACAAATGTTCCCTCCTGGTTTTCCAATGGGCAACTTCCCACCTGAAGGAATGCCAGGTCCACCACGAATGGGACCGGGAGGCTTCTTCGGTGCACCACCTCAAGCACCACCGGGTTTCTTGCCCCCAGGAATGAATGGCTTCCCTGGTCCCGAGGGAATGGCATTCGGTGGACCATTTGACGGAAGAGGACCTCCTCCACAAGGCAACTTCCGAAGACAGTAGATAAATCTACATTACACACTTCTCATCATACATGATCGTAAGAAGATACAAGCTATCATGGGATTACAAAAAACCCTTTTCATATTGAGGGATGGATGGAAATATGGGAACACAAATGATGATTGATTGAAGGGTTGTTTGGGGGGCAGGCATGAATGGGAGAGGAAGGAAAGGCGTAGGGAAAGATGACAGTCAGCTCTTGTAACTATATTCTGTTCTTGCTGAGAACTAGGTAGAGGGGATGGATGGGTATGATGTGAGGGAAGGGACGAGGCGAGCGGTTGTTTTTCTTGGGTCATAAAGTCCGCCTAGTCTGCCTAGATAGTACGTAAGCTGACCATTCCCCCTTCAAAGGAACTTCCAACTTTCCTTTGGGGGGAATGGTTTTATTCAATGAGAACTGTATCACTGTCATTAACCTTTTTCTTGCGCCTTTTCCTCGTTGTGTGGGATTACCTGGTGAATCTTAGGTCTTGGTGGAACCACTTGTAGTGGCGAGAGTGGTTAGGTAGTTAGCTTATAGGTATTCACTAGGAGATACAGTAGAAGGTTGAGCTGAATTACTGTGATTAATTAGGTACTTTACCATGTGTACCCCGCATTTCGCTTATTAGGCAACAAACAGGAATAGTGAATGTGCTCTGAAAGTCTAGTCTCATCTAGTCTAGTCTTCTTCAGAAATGAGGGTTGGAATATGATTCACTACCTATACACTTCCCCTTAAGCTATTAATTCACTACCTAGAGTCTAGTGATCTAAGGTTTATTCATTGCCCAAACTGGTTTTACTGTATTGCTAAAGACTCAAGTGATTATAGAGGTACAGCTACAAGATCTATATTATTTGGTTTCAACCTGTATAGCATAAGCTAGATGTCTTATACTAGGTGATTGATTGCTTTTCCTAGCTACTGTGATAGTTAATTCGTTAGAATTAGATGGCTAAAATTTGAAAGGTTAGAAGATTATGATCTATGGTCTAGTAAGATTGATAAGTGATAGATTAATAATAATTAAAAATAAAAACACAGATAAAAAATAACCGCAAGGAGAGCACAATAGCAGTACAATATCCACTGTATCCATCACAAAAAAGGGTAAGAAGACCAGCGGGCCGCAGCAGACGAGGTGATTAGTGCAAATACAAATATAAAAACAGAAACAAAAAAAAACACCAGTTACAGATATTCTGAAAATAAATTACTGCATACTTGCTACGCACCCCTAACCCCCCCCCCTACCCGCTGTGGATTAATAAAGAAACTTATATCTTCTCACACAGAATACAAGCCACCCAACTCCACAAAACCCCAACCAGAGGGAGGGAGAGAGCTAGAGAGAGAGCTGGACAACGTATATGTATATACCAAGTTCAATGCCAGGCAACCATTCAAGGAACCAATCAAAGCAAGCAGGCAGGTCCTCTCCCACCTCACATCAGAAATTCGCGTTCATTCGTCGTGCGGCTGTTTTTTTGGGACTAGCGTGCTTATTTCCTCAACACTTGCATTGCATTCCCCTACATGCTTTCTTGATTCTGTATACAACATCGCTATGCGTTCAACGCCTTGCCTTGCTATGCACACGATTCCCCACCCAGCCGCTGAAACAGAGATGCCCGCCCATAAATACACACACACACTCTCTCTCTCTCACCCTTTGGATCCAACAATCGAAAATGCCATGTGACCAATTCGTTTCCTTCCATGATGCCTAGAGATCCACTCACCACTCAAGATTTATCTTTACGTTTGCCAAAGAACCCACGTTTCTTCTTCGCTTTTTCTTCTCCATCATGATTGCTTTTCTTATCTGGCTTATGGCTGCTCATCCCATTTTGAGGTCCAAGTTGCATAGGCTGTCGCCCAGTACTTGGACTGGAATTCATGCTCATGGCAGCCATGCCCGCAGTCGGGGGCTGCATAGGAAGCGCTTTACCTGACATCGGCATTTGACCACCCGGTCTTCCTGCTTGCAGAGCACTAGGTCGTTGCTGCGTTGGCATGGCCTGTTGAACTGGTTGTACAGGACGAGGAGGAGGAGGATCGTTTTTCTTGAAAAGGTATTCGGGAGCTCGGGGTTGTGGTCCATCGATGGGAAACCCTAATGTATTTCTCTTGGCATCTAGGTTCCTCATGTCTTGTACGAATGTTTCTGGTGTTTGCATGTGACTAGTGACTAATATGACATCTCTTCCTCGGGTGTTGGCAACTTCATAACAAGATCTGGCTTCCGAGTAGGTTGCTCCTCCAGCCATGTATACGAATATTCTTTGTCTGTTGTCGACTGTAGACATCCGATTTCGAGCCCATGTAGGTTTCGCGCTTCGCAGAGAAGTCTGGGATTGCAAAGCAAGTTCCGTGGAGTTATCTGTTGGTGGCCTTAGATAGGGAAATAGTGACTGATCCAACGTCCCTTTCGCCAGCTCCTCGAGCATCAACTTGACGTTTGGTTCAAATCGAGAAAGTGCAAATTCTTCATCCTGAGCGGTAGGAGCGGCCTTCTTTGCAAGGATTGGCGGCGCGTTAATTTGTTTGTCTTTCACGTCGGCTTTGAGTGTGCGGCCTCCTAGTAGGTCCAGATTTGTCACTACGTTGGCATCGGCCGTTGTGTATGGCAACCCAGAATGAAAAAGAAGCCTTTCAATATCCTCTTGTATCACTCCTTCACGATACAAACAATACATCATGATCAGTCGCAGCCGGTCTGATGGGCCAACACTCGGATCATCAAGAATTCTTACAACCTGATCTGCCATATTTTTGGGCTTCCGGAAATCCTCGTCAAGACCCGTAGCCAGGGTTTGCTCTACTAAGGCAAGATCTGGCAACTTATGTTTTTCGAATATGTTCATGCATTCCTGTGCCATACTCAAATGCAAAGAGTATGCTTCTTTGAGCTCCTGGAATTGGGGCAATCCTGCCAACATATCCTTGATGGCATTCAAGCTCGTTGCGTCCCCTTCTGCATTTGTAAAATGTGGATTTTCATCGATAAACTTCTGAAAATCTCCCATTAACTTCTCGATCGTGTCCTTCATGTGTCGATGTCGGTTCTCTACCCAGATCTTGTCCTTTTCTCCAATTTCCATATCCTTTTCTTCTTGGGCCCCGGTGCCTTCGTTCACCACTGTGGTGTACATAACCTTTTCGCCTTCCTTTATGGGCAAGAGGTCGTGAGCCATAGCTTGATATGTGAATTCGTGTAAGAGCGGAGCCATTAGGTCGAAAGATCGATCAGCAATCATGAGCACCCCCTGTGGCCGGTTGCTTGGAGGTGGGAAATCAGGGTTGTATCTCATATATAAATCTAGTTCATCCTGGACCACTTGCGCCAGGTAGCCGCTGAGAATCCTTGGGCCATATTGATCCTGATCAGTCGGAGTTCGGGGTATGAAAGGGCGAGGTTGGAAGAATCGCACTTTTGGGTTCTCTCCTAGGGAGACAACACAATCTACTATCTAAAACGGGTCAGTCTCTACAAAGGTGTTGTCTGAAGTACATCTGTCTGACCTGTTTGGCAAGTTCGAACACATGTCCTTGAACGAGTGAGCTGCAGGTTGGATTGTATAACAATTGAAAGCTGTGAGGATCCCGGAACGTTATCAGGTTTGACTCTCGGGGGAAAAAGTTCACGGATATAGTTTGGAATCCTGCTATCTGTGCTTTTGCCATGTCTGAACGGTCGATTCGGTCGCGTATTCTGGGCTCTAGAAGAGACGTCCATACGAGGTAGGATCTTTTGTATCTATGGCGCTCGAAATCTGCCATCAGGCAATCGACAATATGTGATTTGGGCGAGATGAGATATATAGCGTCCATGTCGGGGCTCATCTGCCGCCGGTCCTCAATCTTCTCAATATCTTGTGCAAATTAGCATAAATCCCGCATTCTTGTTCGGCCGCACGTACTAGCAATATTCTCGTTGAGAATATCATCTTCCTTGACCGCATTGTCTAATATCTTCTTGGAATATTCGTCGATGACCAGCACCTTCCACTACGGGCGGTCAGCAGAGCTCAGAAGGGGGGTTTGAAGCAGGAATCGTACGTCGCCGCGGGTAATTGCTTTGATGGTACTGAGAATTACTGGTATCCGCGTCAGTTGCATGTACCAGCCAATGGTGAATTGTTGTCCTTACTTTCACGCTGCTCGCGGATCATCGAGAGCCCCATCTTGACGATTCAAAGACAGAGGCAGACACGGAGGATCCGCCTCGAACGACCGTCCCAGCTGCAGTCGCTCTATAGTAATGGTCGAGACTCGAAGATGCAGGTCGTGAAGCATGAAGCTCGAAAATGCGCTTGTATATGTATTGTATGTCTCGAGGGAAAGCGTCGTGTCAGGTAGCTCGGACTCGTGTATTGTGTGGATCATGCTGGTTAGCGGGGTGCTCAGTTGCTGGTGGTTGCGGCCAGAAGCATTCCCGTTTCGCAGCCGTCTGAAACACTGTGGCGGTGTAGTGTACCTCGAATTGTGGCGCTCAGGTTATTCAGCTCCCCTTTTCAACAAGCTAGTGAAGCGAGTTATATTTAGCTTCACTTTCACTTTCCAAAGTCCTACGCACTTGAGATTTGTGTTAACATTAGCGTTTCAAGGCAATATACCGTATTGATTAGTATATTGAAATGATAGAGAAGTTTCCAAACTAGAACACTGATCATATCTTATAAGTTTGACTAATAACCCACTCCAAATTACTCCCTTTCAAGTTCATCCTTGTCACAGTTTTTGAGTACATCCTTGGTCATGTCTCTATGAATAAGAGGTGGTTGGTCGTCTAGACCCCCACCCACTTGTCTATTTTTTGGGCATTACTATTCAATACGACAAGGTTACTTTTGTCGTTTAGCAGAATTCTGGATAGAACTCAACACCACGCTATCATGTGTTATGTTGCGTCAGATTTAGCCTGGGCTATGAGACTGAATAAGTGCAATGTTTTCTAGAGGAATACACGTGTATGTGACTGACGACAAAAACCAAACCAAAACACGAAAACGTTTAAACAAGCAACTTCCAAGCTATCAAATGGAAAGGTCTCAATTCAATTGCGAAACAAGCAATCTTTGAGTTAAGCAATCAAGTTTCGAGTCTTCAATAAACTGCAGAATAAGTAGCATAATTACTTAATAGTACAATGTCATGGTACTACGTCATAAAATATCTATATAAAAACAGTATTCTTTTGACAGCGTGGGGCAACGAAACAAAGTGTATAAGATCTAGATTTGGCTCCCTAAGAACCTTCTAATTATTGCTTAACAACATTTACTTGCCCTGGAACTCCTGAAGAGAATGAAGCCCTACGCTAGAATAACATTAGAATGGAGACGTTGTCTCCTGTTAGACGTAAAAAGTATTAAATATCTTGACTTTCTATTAGTGTATGTCAACCTCAAGTATTGGACTTTTTAATGAGAAGAGTTCATGATAATTGACTTGATTTTTATGGAATCTTCTTTCAATCTGTATACCTTTTCTTAAATAAATAAGATAAGAAAGTAGTTTGAGTTAAGTTACGCTATTGAGAAATAATTGTCCGTTAATTTTATGTCCAACAGGAGCTTGCCTAGGATGCTCTAATTCGTCGTTCTATTTGGTCACAATCAGTTCAGGAATAATAACATTATAGGCCGTGCGCATACGATGATCGATAAAATTCTTCAATGTACGGAAACATACGAAATCTTTTCTGCTGCGCCGTGCATCAGTCTTTGGGGAACGGGAAAGGAAAGATTTTCGTGATTTCACGCTCTAGGATCACATTTGTTAACGTATTTTTATATGACTAACTTATAACAGCAGAGCTAAGAAGGGCTCGGGTGTAGTTAAGATTGATGTAACACAAGCGGAAGTCTACTATTATCTTTCATATATTTCTTCAACATTTGTAAAGTACAGATTCTATTTTTTAAAACATCCAAGTCTCAGCGGTCTAAATTCCCAAGTTTTTCCGTCCCCGTAGAGGGGGGCCACACTTCACCAGAAGGATTTGTTGTGGATGAACCCTGGCGTTGCATCCGAAATCACCCAGCCAATCAACGACTCCTAAGCGAAGGATGAGGTACAGTACCCGTTGGTGTTTGGTATCAAATTCGATGCCTTAAGGTGCTGAGTACTACTGCAGATACATGGAGATTTATTTAGGGGGTTGAAAGACCTCCCATATGAACCTACGATCTTCTCTTTTCTTGGTTCCGACGAGAAATTCGAAAATGTCGTTCACAACATTTCCACCAGAAGTGATTTCTGGTACACCTACCTCATGGCTTCCACTCACTACTCCGTGGACGGTCCCCACTTCTTGCTCTTACGCTGGTTTAGGTGATGTAATAAGACTTACATCCGCGTTAATGTTTTCCAACGGAAACCTATCTAGTAGTCGGGTACCAACTGCTAGATATGGAGCTGGGGTTGATTGTCTCCCCGACCAGGTTTTAATTTGGTGGAATACTGCCAAATCTGCCTCATTGCACTATTCGATTGGCCCCCTGCAATGCCCCGAAGGCTACACTACGGCGACGACTTTTGCAGTTGCGTCTAACATCATACAGATAGCTTGTTGTCCAGTGTGAGTATTTGGTCTTGATAGCATACCCCATAATTGACGATTTCTGAACTTTGTAGTGCTTACACTCTTTCCGCTGTTCTTCCAGCCGGTGTTCCTGGGCAGTGTACATCAACCATCACAGCTGGTCAAACAGTTTCCTTTATAGACGTCGCTGTAAATACATCAAGCGAGTCTCCCGTATGCCTTACTATAATCCTTTCCCAGGAGTATATTACTTTTCGAACTCTAACAAAGTGTCTAGCTAAATATAAGTTGCCTCACAGTTAGCCGGTTATAGCGGGAATTATAACGAGTTTATAGGAGTATAGAGGAAGTAGATTACTTATAAAAGAAGTAACTAAATTAAGTGTAAAGCTTATCTAATCATATAGGAGGGAGTCCGAATTTATATAGTACTAGAGCGCCTAACTCTCGGCTAAATACCTATCCCCTTATAGTAGCTACGGCCAGGACCTCCTAATATAGGGGTAGGAACACTAATTTTCGTAGGATCTAGTAATTAATATAATTCTGCTTCTATATTACCTAAAAATATACGACTAGATACTATAGATTCAGGGAATCATCGTCTATATATCGTACTCTTAGAAAGGTCTATAATACGTTTTAAACTTATAAGAATACTACTAAATTATACTACCTAAGGGAATAGATATAGAAAGAGTTATATTAACCTTAATTACTAATAATAACTAAATAGCGGGAATACTAAGTTATAGTAAACCACCTTTACCTATAATACTTATAATACCTAGTTATATAAAGAAAGGCCATTTTCCTTACTTTTTATTAAAGTTAGTATATTCATCTACTAAAGCTGGTGTTCTATTGGGTCGCTTACCATTCTTGGTACAGTGCCCTGACCAGGGAGGTGCTGGCCGCAGTTTGGGGGCGTGGGGGGATAGAGCTCCACCATACAGCAGTGGAGCGCTACACGTGACCTATTACGTGACACTAGAACTAAAATAAATAACATAGCTGCTAATATTGTGGCTCCGCTGCCACACAATGGTCAGATTTCAGCGCTCGCTTCGCCTTTAATTCCCTCATCATCAAACACCCCATCAGAGAACCCAAGAGAAAAATCTCCTTTGTTTGCCCACTCAGTAGCTCTCATCAATCCGTTGGTAGTAACTGCCATGCCCATCAACGCTATCGTGGATGCCGTCCCATCTATTGCGGATGCTTTACTCGATAGCCCAATCACGTCTGCTGCTGTTCAAATCGTTACCGTTCCTGGCGAAGCCCCGAGTAATTCATCCGTACAATCAACTCCACTGATTCGAGCTCCTCTTCCCAAAAAAGCGGTCATCGGAATAACTATCAGCCTCTCCGTCACTTTCCTATTCTTCATATCAGGCATTTGGATATACCGACGACAACGAGCCAAACAAGAATTACGGGAGGAGATCACGGATGAGCTCCCTCGAGCACTGGGCTATAGCAACGAATTGCCAGGGGAAGACCAAAGAGTGGAGATCGATGGGAGGATGAAAGTGAGCGAGCTTTACAATGAGAAGGGTGTTGCGCATGAGCTTTCTGGGGTTAAACCAGCAGTTGAACTTCCTGCACATGCGGCTTCGTCGTAAAGGAGCAAAACAATCAACTGGGGACCTGTTTACTGAGTTATTTTTGCAATTGATTAACCTTTGTGTACATTTTTGAACTAAAGTGGTTATGCGGATGCTTTAGAACAATTAGCGTTTTTCATTTTTCGGTAATCCAGGTATACTAGAACAAATTACCTGCTTATGCCAAACTTTTGGCTCAATAGCTCTTTACGGTATTTGCAGAGTAATGAGCAGCTCTCTTGTTGCATACAGTTTTCTACAAGTTGAAGGTGGCAAAAACAATATCACGTAACAACCCCTGAGAGTTTCTTTAGCGAGGTCCAAGGAATTTTGCTTTTTTCTTGTTCCTATATTTAGTCAGCGCCTTCAGATATAGCTTCATGCATGTATAATAATTCTGATATGTAGTGGTATCATATTCTAAAATCTGATATCATGGTTAGGACCCCCACGATTTCACAGAAGTATTCAGTGGTCCTGATGGCTGCTCGCTACTAGAGTGGCTTCGTCTATAAAGTTGGATTTTCTCAAAGCGAAGATTACTATTCAACGTGCCGCAAATAGATTACCTTTCTTCTAATCCTTTGCATCTAAATGGCTATGGGGTCCCCGAAACAGTTTCCAGCATAACACGTTTACTGTATGTCATGATGGGGGAAACTTACAACCAAAAATTCCAACCACTGGAAATTTAGAATCACATTTTTGTCACAAAGACGGGGGAATGGCTAAGCCAAGACACGTGCATATCAGGAATTAAAGGTTTTATGATATCTAAAGGCAATCTACCTAGATCGAATGATATCTTTCTAAGTTTCCGTCTCAAAGAAAAATGGAAATATCATACGATCATGCAGCTGGTCCGTCAAGCGCGTTCTCATATTCAGATTCAGACTCACTGCTGAGCTCATCCTCCTTTTCCTCGCGTTCAGACTCAGCTTCAGACTCGTCATTCTCAGCGTGTATTAACGGATCTCCTCCATGAATGTCTCCAAAGTCGCGACGAGCAATTGCGCGGCCTGACTCCTCAGACTCAGACTCGGAAGAGAGAGAAGACTCAGAGTCCTCTGTATCAATCTGAACCGGGTCGACTGTGTTGGGTTCCGGTTCTTGTCTAGCTGCGATAACCCCAGTGTCACGGCGGAATACAGAACGACGGCTGATACCCCGACGAACGACTGGTGCGGCTGTTTCCTCAGACTCAGACTCAGAAGACTCGGAGGAGGATTCAGAGGACTTCTCCTCTTCAGCCTCAACCGTTTCGACGTTGGGCTCTGGTCCTGGCTCCTGTCTAGCTGCGATAGCGCCAGTGGCACGACGAGCCACGGATCGACGGCCGATGAATCTGTAGTTAAGACCACGACGAGTGATAGACTGAGATGCCTTCTCGGCTTCCTCATCGGCTTGCTCCTCACGGTCGGATTCAGATGAGAGTNCCGATGAATCTGTAGTTAAGACCACGACGAGTGATAGACTGAGATGCCTTCTCGGCTTCCTCATCGGCTTGCTCCTCACGGTCGGATTCAGATGAGAGTTCACCCGCCTCCTCACGGTCGGATTCGGATTCGGATTCAGATTCGGAGATATCAGTGTCTACTTCAGCCGGAGCTGGGTCGACTGTTTCTGGTGCTGGTTCTTGTCTAGCTGCGAGAGCCCTGGTGGAACGACGAGCCACAGATCGGCGGCCGATGAATCTGTAGTTAAGACCTCGACGAACTGGTGCGGCCTCAGCCTTCTCAGCAGCCTCCTCACGATCGGATGCAGNGTTCTTGTCTAGCTGCGAGAGCCCTGGTGGAACGACGAGCCACAGATCGGCGGCCGATGAATCTGTAGTTAAGACCTCGACGAACTGGTGCGGCCTCAGCCTTCTCAGCAGCCTCCTCACGATCGGATGCAGATGAGAGTTCACCCGCCTCCTCACGGTCAGATTCGGACTCAGATTCAGATTCAGAGAAATCAGAGTCCTCTTCGATAGGCTGACCCGCCGGGTCGACTGTTTCTGGCGCTGGCTCCTGTCGAGCTCGGACAGCTCTGTTGTCGCGACGAGCCACGGAACGGCGGCCGACAAATCTGTAGTTAAGACTTCGACGAACTGGTGCTGCTGCAGNGGCGCTGGCTCCTGTCGAGCTCGGACAGCTCTGTTGTCGCGACGAGCCACGGAACGGCGGCCGACAAATCTGTAGTTAAGACTTCGACGAACTGGTGCTGCTGCAGCCTTAGCAGCCTTCTCGGCTTCCTTCTTGGCTTCCTCCTCGCGGTCGTCCCCAGATGAGATTTCACCCGCCTCCTCGCGGTCGGATTCGGATTCAGAGGCTGTTTCTGGCTCTGCTGGAACAGCAGCCTCAGCGGAGTAGGGAGTAGCAGCAGCCGGTGGGTAATATGGTGCAGCGGCTTGTGGGTAGGCAGGATAAGCCGGAGCAGCTGGGTAGGCATAGCCAGGATAGGCAGGAGCAGGAGCTGGGTACTGTCTAGCTTTAATAGCTCCAGTGTCACGACGAGATACGGAACGACGAGTTGCCTTTGGAGTTGTTTTCTTGATGTGGCCAGGGTTGAAAGGTCTGTATCCGGTTGACTTGAGTAATTTATCAATGGGCGCGTTGGGGTCACGAGCTTCAATTCCTGCTTTTTCGGAAGACCTAGAAGATAGTTAGTGCGATAGAACGAGCTACAAGAAGGATAATCGTACTGAGCAGGAGCGGCGGTCACAGCCACTGCGGAAGTGAGGAGAAGGAGAGTGGTTGGAAAGTTGAGGAGCTGCATTTTGACGTCTGAATAAAATAAATAAAAAATCCGAAAAATAATAGGGCAAAGATTAACGTATAGTTAAGCGAATGTAGTTGAAAGAGTGTGGTTGAAGTGAAAGAAGGAAATAACGGTAAAGCAGAAAAGAATGAGATGGAGAAGAAAAATATTCTCTCGCATTATCGGGAAGTTATATACATTCTGATCTCGGAATATCCGTGTCCCTTCTACACTTGGTAGAGTCTATTTCTGCACATTCAGACAAGGTGCTGCCTGGGTTCTGCATGGGTTATGAGGTCGCGAGACGTTGTTTGACCCATCTATACCCACTTCCAAGAGTTCGAATCTCGACTGGACCCCCACCTTTTAGGTAAGCGAACCAATTGAGAGCGGCATAGAGACATTGTAGTTCCTCACAGACAAGTTTCATGCGATGATACCGATACTGCAGGATTGTTAGATCTTCCTAGAAAGATTCGCCATCTTTCTGTGAGTATTCTTGTTCTGAATTATTGCCTTACCGGTACTTTCAAATTCCTTCTGATTATCTTAGAGCTATGGCACCAATCTAATCTACGTGTACCTTAGCCTGTAAGATACGAATACCGGGCGCAGCGGGAGATGCTCTTGAAGGTGCATATTTTCGGACGGTATATCCGTCATTCGTGCAGTAATCAAGTCTTTCGTAGAGACCCGCAAATGATAAGGTTAAGGACAAGCATTTTTCGTAAAAAGATTTTTTGGAACAGCACCAAAAATACACTTACTGCTTGGCAATCTTGGCCCTCTTCACAAAATGTACATACTATTAAAAGTCAATAACATTGTCGCTAGGCGTAAGATATGATGTATGTTTGCTATTGAGGTTTTCTACCTGCTTAAATGCTACTCGAGCGCCCAGATACAATCCTGAGTCTCCCAGATAAAAATTCTCTTCAAACCCGCCCTCGATAATCAAGAGGAATGCCAAGAACAACCTCAAGACAAGAACAGCAAAAACAAATGCCGTACAAGTAGCGAGCTCGATATTAAGCATTGCCGGTGCTACCAAGTACAAAAGCAATCCTGAAGAATAACAACACGTCAAAGTCAGATGGAAAGTATGGAATTGCAGGCCCTTAAATTTGGTTTGTAAGTTGTACAGTGATACGATCACTCGCTTGTGCTGGTTTAAAACATGGGTGGGTAATCACACTCCTGTAAATCATGTCCGTGAAGTGTTTTCCACTCTATACATATGTTACGAAATTATTTTGGACTGGGGCTTCTCAGGATGTCCATTCAGGAATTCCAGCTGCTACCTAAAATTAAATCTCTTTATGCTATGATAGATTATTTAAATGCTAAAGGGTTGGATATTCTTTTTTTTTTCTTTTTTGAAAGCGCCGCACAACCCAACTAGTCATACGAGTGGGTTAGAATAGCCAGCACGTGTCATCTTTGATCAACATAAAGATACTAGGACAATAAGGTCATTTGTAAGGTTTACCAGAGTTTTACAGTAATGTCACGTTATAGAAAATGCGGAGTAATGACCAGGTCTTATTTTTCTAAATTCCACGCGTTTTTTGCGAAAGAATGTAGGTGCAAATATCCCCTGGAAAAGCTGTCTACCTATTCCAAACACCTGGTCGCCTAAGACATAGATTCAAGTAAGCGATGTATACAGGAGATGCGTTGCTACAAGAAGCTTTCATGAAAGTTGTTCTTGCTACCAATACCTAATTCTAAATTATTTACTCTGTAAACAGTAACATAACCCGGACAATAGAACTTTCTCGTATGCAGTTACCGATTTCTCTTTCTCTCGCAGGGGTTGGCGGCAATTAATACTTCGTGAGTGATGTAGTACAGCCAAGGACTATATTTGCAATTTATCTTCATGTCTTCATTTTCACCATGGAAATCTTCGCAAAACTCGGTCATAATTTCCGTCTGAAGTTTCCGCGTGAAGAGAAAATTCAAAAAATCCCCGAAAGTTAAGTTTAGATAATAAAGTGGAGGACTCCATTTTTCACAATGGCACAATTTTGTAAAACATTCCCCTGTTAAGATCACTCGCTTAGAGCTACGAACCCCTGATCCAAGCATTTCAAGTTGGGAAAATGGCCTTTGCGAATAAGCGATCCAATGGAGACACGTTTCTCCTCGTTCGATAATCAGGGTACATTGGGTCGCTTAGACTTGGACGCCGATACGATCTTGCATCAGGTATCGTGTTATCGCGGTGAATTTTGTTGTTTAAGGTGTATTTGATACTCTGATTTATTTCTCTGGAAAATGACAATTATAGATATCTGAAGCTATGCTTAGAAAGTCACAGAGTGAACTTGAGTCTGAAAATCGGTGATATTTCGCGTTAAACTAACTGTTCAAAAGTAAACAAAAGTCCCTTGTTCGCTTTCTAAGTTCCTCAACTTTTGCTAAAGTACACAGGTATTCCACAAAGCCTGGGGCAGATGATTAAATCACGAATTAATTAATGTTGAGACCGTCAATGCTTTCTCTTCTATTCTCTGTATACCTTGAGATGGAACCCGCTTGTGAATTGATGTGAAAACGGGAACCGACTCAATGTGTTGGTACGACCTGGTTGTCGTAAAGGGTGATACACAAACATAATCTCTCTTTGTATTCATTCGTGTATGAAGAGTAAAGGTAAAGAGAGGTGGTACTCTACAGACTTAAGTATGTGAGTAACAAGCCACTCACATGACCTAAAGTATATAGGTCTACCAGGCTCTCGTACAAGGTGCTATTCACCAGAATTATATACCGACACAATGTGTGTAGCTAAATTTGTTCACCTCTCATTCTAGTATAATATAAGTCATATACATCATAAGTGGACAGTGTTTTTGAAATTGTGATTTTATCTTTATTGACAAAGGAAATATCGTAAAAGTAGCGTATAATATATGTAAAGTAGAGTAGCGGCACCTACTCTATTCTATCGACTAAATAATCAATAGTATTTAAACACTGTCAATTAGTACGAAGCAAGTCGGCCGATAAATACCGTAGCGGTGCTCCGGCCGCTTAGTCTAACTACCTAGATTTATTCCAAGACGTTTAATAGAAGGCAAATAATAGGATATACTCTTAGAATAGCTAGTTAACATTAAAACTAGCTGATAGAGCTAGGGTTTTATTTATAGGGAAGGGTAGATAAGTAGGCTAGCATTTAACGATAGCTAATATATACTTAATTATCATACATAGTAAACTACTTTCTACTACTTATTTAGTAATTAAGTAGTTATTTTCAGTGTTTACTACTCTACTCAACTCAACTTACTCCTACTTAATTACTAACCAAGTAGTTGAGTAATCCTTTAATAAGCTGATATCTACTTATTAACTCACTTTTAACAGGTCATTTATATAAACTACAAATATATTAACAATTACTTAGCAAGACCCCATCCGCTCTCGTATAAACCTACCTACGTTTCTACTGCAAACAATATTAACTCGCAAAAAAAAAGTCCTTACCACCCACCCACCTCTCTATCGCCAGGTAAGTTACCTTCTACAGCTCTTACGGTATTCTATCATCCCTACAACCTCACACCCCCTCAAATGCCCTCAGCTTACACAAAAGAGATCTGTAAACCTCATGTACAGTATCACCAAATCACATAATCCACAAGAAAGAAAAGCAAGTATTCAGCCCTTCACGTTAAAATCTACATGCCTATCTACTTTTCTCCCTTCTCCCTTCCCCCCTCTCTCCCCTCCCACCAAAAGCAGAATAGCCACCACCCACCCACCGCCATGCACGCAAAGTAAGAAAAAGATAAAAAAAAAATCCTTAACGTCCATTGCTTTCCATCGCATCGAATCGTATCCCATTTACCCACCCATCCATTCCATGCCAAAATGAGAAAGAAAGAAAAAGAAAAGGAACAAACAAGGAACAAAAACTCCCTTATACCATGTAAACGCATCAATCATCTCATCTCTATCTCACCCATACCCTCCATCCGCACCTCACATCCCTCCCTGCTCGCCAGAGGGACATAAGTGAATTGTAAGTCCGAGAATCCCATACCCTAAGGAACGAAAATCCTGCTGAAGCTCGCCACATCCCTTCGACAGCAAACACACTTATCGAAATTATTCATCGCCAGCGTGACCCGACAGTCATCACAAAGACTGAGACACCTGCACGGCCACACAATAACACTCCTCGGATTCGTCTGACAGACGACACACTGCGGCCCACTCTCGCCCATGCCCGAGGCGCCTCTCGCCCAACTATTCCCTCTATCGCCTTGTCTGGATGTCGAGCGAGCGGTGATGACGATGTGCTCGAGAAGTTGTTCCTCTTCCGCAGGTGTGAGTTTAGTGCCCGGGGCGTGAGAGAGGTGTGCAGGACGGTGCAAGGTGGTCATGAGGACTTTTGCACGTTCGCGCTGGATGATGGTCTTGAAGCGGGAGCGCGTGACGATGTTGGGACTCGAGAGGTGAGCGGCGAGGGCGGTTGCTTCAGCGCGTTGTTCGGGATTTTGGGGGTTGAGGAGTTGAGCGAGGTCGGTTGGGTTGAGGGGCGTGTCTGTGAGAGGGGTGGATTCGCGGGAAAAAGAGGGGTATCCGTGAGATTTCTGGGTTGGTGTTCTACGACCATCATCGTCTGAATCCCGGTCCAATTCCCATTCATTTTCATCTCCTGTGGTAGAAACGGAGACGACACTTGTGGTATCGTCATCGTCATCTTCGTTTACATTTTCTTCGAAATCTCCACTACTATCATCGGCTCCCCACCAGCCTCCATTGAGCCACCATTTGTAAAGATGTGAACCTAGGTTGTCTTCTTGGGTCTCATCCCAATATCCTTGATTGTTTCGAAGCCGGTTTCTTACCTCTGCCTCAACATCAATATGATCATCTTTCGGCAACGTCAACTCGCCATCCATATTGAGGAGCCAGAAATTCAAAGATTCGGGACCTTTGCGATCAGCACCCTTTTCCTTCCCAGCACCATTCTTTGGTCTTTGAGTGAGCCACACGAGGAAACGTGGACGAGCTTGAATTCCAACTCGGGCCATACCCCTCAAAACCAACGAAGCCCACCAACTGAATAGCAGTCTGTTGATACCCATGAAAAACTCCAGGGCCATTATCCATCTTCCACTCCGCTCTGTGGCCCCGACACCATCTCTCATCGTTCGGTCATGCCCCTTGATACCGGTTTTTTTCTGAGCCGTCATTTCCCTCGCGTAACCACTTGAAGAGTTTCGTAACATTTCAACAGGTTGATCTTTGACAGCCACTAGACCAACATTATCTGAAAAATTTCCGCCACCCATACTTGGGTCTGGATCGCGAAGTCTGAAATTAGGACCCAGCCACTGGGCACCGACAGCCTCGATTTCGTTTAATCGTTCATCCTCTAACCAAGTCCTTTCCTTCACATTTACAACACGGCTTTCATTGAGATAAACAGCTTCAGCCGCCATCGTCATTATACTGAATCCTGTTTTCAACAGAGCCGTATAAAAGTCCATGTGCATCGAAAGTCTTATACTGGATAGAGGAACATTTGCTTGCATGTTTTCGTGAGCATCTTTCATCCTGCGGAGAAAAGACCTTTCATGAGGAATGACATCGTCAGAGTCCTGTGCATTTCGGTCGTTGGAGGGTGGAGCGAGTGCTGACAGAACTAATGCAATCCCGTAAATTCCCATGCAGCAAATAATACCACATAGTACTGCGACGTGAGGAATAAACCCCACAATACAGACAGTTGGAAACCTCAGTAGGGTCTGATTTGATAGATCATCCATGGAAAAAGTCCATAGGCTCCATGCGATAGCCGACATAAAAGCCATGCCCCAAAATCCAGTATTGAGGAGTCGCATTCTCCCTTGCATGTTGAAAATCGCAAGTACGTGACTAGTAAGGTGATTCATACTTGAGAGGAACCCAACCAGCAGCACTTCTGCGGCAGTGTTGACTCGCTGCATGATCATCTTCCGGGTAATTGCTATCTCCTGTACTTCGTTGCCTGATGTCGAAGTGGAATTTGTCCAGGCTTTCGCCATCTTGGTTCCCCCAAAAGAACCGAATCCCAACTGATTCCCAATCGCAGCATCTGCCTCTGCAAAAGCCAAAGAGTGTTCGAAAATGGTCATTCCCGTTTCGGCAGCTACTAGACGTCCTTGGACCGCACAAGAAATAGTTTCCACAACTTGGCTTAAGCAAAACGTTTGGAATAGAGGCCATAAATGAGATAGGGAGCCCGTCAAAACAACACGGGGCCTTTCCACAACTGACTTGGACTTTTCTTCGGGCTCTTCATAGTCCGGTGGTATCATATTCACAGCCAAACAGGAACTCTCATCCGTCTCTCCGAATAAGAGTGTTGAGCTCATGGTGTGTAAGAAGCCTCCATTTTGGGTAAACATCAAATCCGAATGCTTTGAGGCATTCCCCCAACGAAGCATGGAGAATTCCGGAGACGTCTGGCATTTTATGGATCGAAGTAAAGTGAGAGCTTGCGTGGCCAGCAGGATCATGGGAACGATTCTCACTAGAAGACGGATCTTCCATGGAAGTAATAGATTCCGTCGCGTCGACGCATATATCCCGGATCGATTTAGAACGAGGGCGATAAAGAAACAAAGTATGGCCCATTTACTGGTGATGTATCCAAAGACATTCCCCAAACTCCTCGCGCCCTCCATTGAGAACCTCGAGGCCAGGCCAATTGTTTCCTCGTCAACTTCCACCACTATCTCGGTCGCCGCTTGTGCCACTTCTCTCGCAGACGCTGAGGCCGTCGTGATTGCCTCCACTATGCCAGTAGTAGCCCCGGTAGCTTCTGGTATAAGTCTCTGACCTAATCGTGCTCCAAATATGTTATCGACTGCTTCTGGGACAGGAAGAAGGGAGCCTAGTTTCATAAACATCCGCGGACCGGCCAGCGCGAGGTCTTTCGCAGATGGAATATATTGTGTGGCATTGAAGGCAGTCCAGTTTGCCGTCCAAGAACCAAGATCAAACCTGGCTGCGTGGTCGAATGCTGCAGCCATTGTGGTAGGCGGCGATCGTTCCAACTTCTGCGGCGTGAGTTGGCGGGGCCGTGATAGAGATAGTATGGGGTCAAAAGCTAAAAGGAGGAGGAAGATTCCATGGCAGACATCAGAAGTTCACTTTCCTGCAAACCCCACGGGAATTGCGGCTTGTGCACGCGTTTGTAAATGGCTTATAAAGAAGTCCTGAACTGGTGGTTCCTGAATATGTCAGTTTCGTCCGAAGCATCCGTCGCCCGGTCCGAATGCGCCGAGGTTGAGACCAGGAAGTCACCTTCCAGCAAGACGGGATGACTCCGTACGTGATTATGATTACGCATGAGCAGCAGAAGTACAGGAGGTTGATATCACGAAGATAAGGCTTCTATTCATTTTCATAAGATTGAAATATTTATTTTGAAAACTATGTACTATGTACTGTTTATGCCAATGTTGCCGTTCGGTCCCAAGCCAAGCACTGACTCACATGCCAGCCCATTCAAGTGTAAATGCTCTGACTGAATGTTCCTCGGACTCGTCATCTTCATCTTCTCCCCCTATGAGGAAGCCCTTCTTCACTCCAGTACCCAATCTTCCCCCACCCACCAGATCAAGCATAGAAATCTCTTGATTCCATCCATAACTGGTAGCAAGAAAATGACTGTGAAAACGTAGTGGATCACCAGGGTACACATTGTAGTTACATCCAAAGCGAAGACCAGGCATAATGAAGTATTTCTTGTTATGCAAGAAGCGAAAAACAGCGTAGGAGGCTGGGACAACAGGATCAGGCGAAGGGGGAAGGGTGTCTTGCAAGGACGAGGAGGAGTATGATACGCTAGGTGTCATGGCGAACGGTGCGGGGTTCTCCCAGGAAGAAACTTTGGACGAAGTATCAGAGAACGCCGGGGACGCAGGACGATCAACACTAGAAAGAGAATCCTGGGTACTCGACATCTCAGTAGCATCAGGGATAGAGGAATCGTCTTCGCGAGGCTTCTCAGACGACTTGCTTGCTCTCAGCATTGCTTGCCTCGAGAGAGCTTTGGCCGACTTTTGTCGTGACACAGCTGCTGCTGCTTGACTCATTCGCAGGCCTTCGTCTCTCAAGGACGCCAAATACCTCTTTTTATCCTCGCCTTGCAATGTACTGTATCGATCTTTATGCCAGGCAACATCGTCCACAATGTATGCGGCTCCCTTTTCGATGAGTAGCTTGACCTCCTCAGGAAGAAGCTCCAGAGGAAGACCTTGGAATACATTCTGTTGAGGTGCCTGGGGAATGCCACCGATGAGCACACCACAGATGTTGTGCGTGCTGCGAAGGTAAGTTACAACATTGATATCGTATAGCAAATAGCGACCTGACACCACCGATATTGCGATGGGTTCCGTGGCCATCTCTGATAGTTGCACCATTGTGTGTAGAGGAGCCGGGTCGGTGGAGAGCGTTCTGTGAAGGTCTTCGGTCAGCAATTGGTCGAAGCAAATTCGAAATTTGATTCAGTGACAGGAGAGGTCGATGATCATGAATTAAAACATATTTTAGGCATCATGTCCAGATAAATCTGGTGTCAGGGGATTGACAGATCGGTTTTGTAATCATATCGAAGAGTCAATTGACAGGAGGATGGAAGGGTTGGACTTACGGATTGCAATGGCGACCACACAAACCTGTGTGTGGTTTGTGTTGAGGAATAGTTTGGAGTTGAGAGATGCGAAAGACTTTTTGTAGCTTGGGCTTAATTTTTTCCCCACCGAGCCTTTCCTTTTCAGGAACTCAATCACGTGAATCACAGGATCAGGTTACCTAGGTAGAAATAGGAAGCGAGCGGCAACAAAACTCGGCAGCACCTCTTCATCAATACATCTCAAAATAAAGAAACAGCGTTATTAATAGAATCATTCTTCACTCTCACTGCACTGATGTTCAAGCTATCTATCCAAGATGCCAGGTTAAGTCAAAAGACTCAATATTCGATCCCTTTGCAAGCTTCTTATCAATCCCCTCTCTCCATCCAAGAACCTGCAACCACATAACATCTTCAACCCTAGTACCTCAGTACGCATAGGCAGCCTTCTTACGTTTCTCATTAGGAGCATAAGCATACGCGGCTTTCTCTCTCTTCTCATTTGGTGCATACGCATATGCTGCTTTCTCCCGTTTTCCGTTTGGAGCATATGTATACGCAGCTTTCTCGCGAGCAACAATCTGGCTCGCTTCAAAGTCGATAGGTTGGGATGGTCCGGCAGAGATGGTCATGGCGAGGGCCATGGTGACGAGGCTGAGGTTGAATTTCATTTTGTGGGTGTGTGGCTATGTTTCTTGGTTAGCTTGTGATTCTCTTTCCTTGAGAAGTAGAAGACTTACTTTGCAATCTGTCGTTCTGGGTGCTTTTTGTTGAGGTATGGGGACTGTGGTAGATGTGCAATGTTGTCCTAAGTTTATTGGTAAGGTTCTGTGCTTTTAAAGATGTTTTGAAGATATTCCAAAGATATCGCTATGGGTATTTGGTTCTTGTAATTCCGGTTCCGAGATATCCTTATATGACCTTGCCTGGATTAGTATAGTTTTTCCTTTTCCGAGATGATTAGGAGATTGGAAAATTACTAACTCCCGGTAGTAACTTCCCGGAGCGGGATTCGGAATTGTCACTTTTTTGTATCATTCCGGATTGTGATAAATCCGAAGCGGAATCGGTACTGTGTCGGACTCATAACTTCTTTGGAACCACTGTTACTTTATTGAATCCAAATCAAGTCTATGCAAGACTAGATGAATTGTATAGCAAACTAGGGAAAATCCACTTCAAGTACTTGAGATAGCCTCTATTGATCGCCAGGTACCACAGGTCCTGCATAGCTCTAACACCTCAAGTTCATACAATTTCATTTTTTCAAATCAACAGAAATGGTGATACCCCCAATCTTCTTCTCTGGCATCCCTAATAACCACCAGTTTCCCTTCAAACACCCACGATCCCAAAAATACTCCCTTCTAGCACCCCCACCAGACTCACCAGAACCCCTCTCCGACCCAGAAAACTCCAAGATCAGCCTCACAGCCCCAGACCATCAATTTACCCCCCAAAGATCCCCCAAACACCGCCTCATCGAAATAAGCACCGCAATCCTCCTCACCTCCCAAACACTCTACAAACACCTCACCCAAGTCCCCCACGAGCTCGCCGCCCAACAAGCAATAACATCCATCTACGGCCTGGATCTCTCGCCGGTGTATTCATACGGCAAAAACAGCACCGAAGCCATAACCATGGGTTGTATCTTCGATATGTCAGCATCCGGCTGGACACCACCGCAATGCACGGATGCGGAGCTGATGGCGCAGTTTAAGGCGAGCGGATGGAGGTTCTGGGAGGATAGGGAACGCACGGTTGAGGTTGGTCTTGATCGTATTGCGGCGAGTGCTAGTGAGGAGGAACCCAGGGAGGTGTTTTGGAGTGAGCCTGGGTTTCATGAGAATCACTGTGCTTTGAGTATGTGTTTTTTCTTTTTTGTCGTCGTCTTTTGCTTCGTGATTCTTGGGAGTTGGAAGGGTGTGGATGCCAGGTGTATAGTGCTGATTTGGAGTAGTGTGGGGAGGTGATACAGAAGGTTCGTGAGTTTACTACTGTTGGGACCTAGAGAAAGAAGGAAGTAGTAATAACCCTATATTCTATCTATAAAAAAACATTCCATGAAACTCGGGGAATTATTATGAATCCCTTTCCTTACTACCTTTCTTTCCATTTTCCCCGCTTACTTCAAATAAAAATAAAAGTGAAAAATAAAAAACTAAACCCCCTGCCCTGAATAAAGCCTTAACCCTTCTCTCCCCTTTTCTTCTATTTTACTCGTATAGTAAAAGTTAACTCTCTATTCTATCCTATTCCAATTAAATCTCATACTTCTCAATAACACCCCATATCCTTTGATTACTTCCATTCTGTAAATAAATATTCACTACATTTACCCCTTCCCGTAGATATAAGCTTAAGTAACACACCTCACATCAAGTCACAAAAGTATATGCCTGCGTAGCTTAATGGTAACATTGAGTGAGAACTTTACTTGAAGCTTGACTAGTCAAACCGCCAAAAAACTTAATTCGTCTGGTTTATCGTCCGAGGCTCTCGTCTATGAGGGTGATGATAGTTTTGATATTTTTTGGGGGGAGATTGGGTTTTGCTGGGACTTTGTTTTTTTTGTGGAGGGGAGGGGAAAGGGGGTTGGAAGTGAGGGAGATAGCTAGAGGAGGTACATATGAGGTGGGAGTGAATATATAATATTCACGTGATGTTATATTTATAACCCTCTCTATACAATGGTCTGCAATATTGCATCAGTTCGTACCAAGATTCAAATGAGTGGGAGGCTTTATCTTACTAGCATGTATCTGAGCATTCGAACTAAGCGTTTCGGGGTATTGGTCGAGTACATTCGTTTTCTTATCGTGTTCTGGATGCAGTTAGCATAAGGAAAAAAGATTGCAGAGAGAAAGAGAAACAAGACAGTAGAGACTGTGGAAGACTTCAATTCTAATTTTCTTATCAGGCGAAATGCTCTCACAATCAAACTTTACAGTACATGGGTAGCAATACTCAACGATATACTCCTCCGTACCATCCTCTTCCCCAGGATTCCCTCCAATAGACCTCGCTTCCTCGCCACCAATCCTAACATCATTCTTCTCGACTGATACTGTCAGCAAACCTCCCAAACAGCTCTCACACTTCATACATTGACATACGATTTATCAACCTCCTTCAATTACCATCCACCTCCGTCCCATTCCCCACATAAACAGGTTCCTCCGGATCGAAAACGCGGAATATCGTCGACTCGTCCACGTAATCAAGACTGCTCGAGAACTTAACTAGCTTTTTTGATATCGCAGGATGCGCCTGAACTAAATTAGTTTCTCAAAGTCAGAATGGAACTAAACTCTTTATGAATTGGAAGGAAGGTGAGAATCTAGTACCAAAATCTGTGGATGTCCAGAAATGCACTTTCTGTGTGGTGAGGAAAGAGATGGCATTATAGGATAATAGCAAGAATAGGAGGATCCATGGGAGAATAAGACGGACTGTCGCACTTGATGAATATGATTTGTGAGAGCTTTTTGGAGGGATGAAGGGGAGAGCTTCTTCGTCGTAGAAGGTATCATGGTCTTGAGGGGTTTTAAGGTTGTAATGCGTCATTTTCTTTTTGCTTGCGACAATGACAATTTTTCTTTCTTTGGATACGAGTACTATTCAACTTGTATTTTTCTTGGAGGGGGCCATGATGGGATGTTGCACGGGAAAATTATGGTCAGGTGTTTCCGCTTTCCTATTCGGAACTGAGGGGTCGGAATTGCTTCGGTACTGCTCGCTTACTGACTCGCAAAAGAAGTGTAGGTCCTCACACACATTTTGGTATCCGAGACCTCAGTAAGGTGTAATATTTCTCATCTAGGCTTTGGGATCTGCTTCATCATGCGACTGATTTCAGAATCCTCTTATCTAGTGAAACTCGTTGATCGTGATCAATACAAATGATTGCCCTCCAATCTTCCTTATCTCGTCATCACACGAAGTAGAGCAGTAATGAACTACTTCGTAGTACCCTTCATATCATCACCAGTCTATGGTAAAGATTCCACTCTTAATTTATTGGTTTATCTTCAGAAAGACTTTTAGTGCTAGTTAACAGAAATGGACGAGGAAACCGAGATTGCTCTTTCCAGTCCAACTTCCGAAACAGAACTTCTACCTCCTGGAGAAAAAGCATCGTATGATGATGAATACACCTTGCCTCCTTCTGAGTCGTGGTGGAAGCTTCTCTCAATCATCATCCGCGGGTTTTCGCCTCTACCTTAGTATTTCTGTTTTTGCTTGTGGCCTTTTTGGGTGCAGCGTCAATACTTAATTCGAGGATAAAAGTTGAGCAAGTCTCTGTGATGAAGATCAGTATCCATAGAAGCTGACTTCGACACAGCAGTACACCCAAAGCACCATCTTGTAAGTACTTAGGTCACTTTAACGAAGTTGCAAGACCATGATATGAAGTTTCATCGGTGAACCTCTGAGTATCCGACAAGAATGACGGCAACTCTTAATTCCTGCTCGAAAATCCTACCTAGAAGCAGTGAAATGTCTTACTACCAAACCCTCTCGTCTGAACCTAACAACGAGTCTGTACGATGATTTCACAGTCGTGCACAAGAAAAGAGTCTATTCCGTGCATCATGTTTCTGCTTCTCTACCATGGCATAGATATTTCTTTTTCATCTTTGAACAAGCACTGAAAGAGGAGTGTGGATACGAAGGTTCTTTACCGTATACTTCCCGCTCTAACGAAATTTATTTCAAGCTAATGCTGGAGCAGATACTGGGACTGGACTTTAGACACTAAAGACCCCTTAGCATCCCCAATCTGGGATCCCGAAACCGGCTTCGGAGGAAGCAGGATCATTGTATAAAGGAGCTTTACAATGTCAGTATTGGGAGGCGTACTTTAGCTACTGAATTACTCCCAAGGGCACTTACCGTGGTGACTAGAGCCTAGGTATCTAAGTAAGTCAGTCCATATGTAACGAGCCCCTATCTCGAGAGAACTCACCTGAAGTTTCGTCATTGAAGCTGCTCCCGGAATAAGTTCCCATGTCGACTTCGAAGCGAGATGAAGTACTTTCGTGAGCTTTCCAGATTACCCTTCTCAAGTAGACCAAGTGATACAACACTATTCAGAAGAACTTCGTCTTCAATGCTTGTCTGGCAGAGGAATTGCTTAAGACTTTGTTGACTTTATCCCTTGTCAAATATGAACACGCCCTGCTTAGTTCAGCACATGGCTTGGCAAAGAAACGCTAGACAAACCACTAACAAATGATAGCATTCGAAAAATGCTATGTGGACCAGCTGATTATTTTCGCGAGAAAACACAGAGGAAAGAGTTACCTTCCAAATATTGCTCTACCGTCTCTTCTTTGTCTAAATCCGCTATATCCACGCCAGAGGAGCCGTGTTATGGCTGGTCACAGCTGGGGATATGTAACCTTTCGAAAGTCTCCACTTTTATATCACCTAGCTTACTTGCGGATGCAAGAAAAAATAAGAGGGTGCTTGCTAAGGGCCTTGGTTGGTTAGAGCCATGGCTTACATTTCTCACAACGCATACACATATGAGCTCAGAGTTGGCTGATAAGTCAAGTATTGAAATCACAATCCGTGAAAGAGCGACTACGTAAGCTACAAATAAGGCACCATATAAGAGCTCCTCGTAGAGTTTCGTCCAGAAAGGTCCATAGAACACAAGAACACTAGAGCATTTCCGAGCATATGTTACACACTGTGCGTCAGAGTACCTTGAAAAAAACAATAAGACAGATATCAAGCTATTCTTCATGCGGTCAGCTACCAGTGGAATCTTACAGACCTGATCTGTACGTAGCTGATTAAGATAAAGTTAGGAGAACTTTGGATCTCAATCAAGGCTAGATATGAGACATTCCTCATAAAGCAATTAAGTTGGTACTGTAACTTTCTCAGTGCAGCATAAATGATCATACCTACAGAGCAACCACCATTTTTATGGACGTACAAGCATATAGTCGCTGACACGACTATAGTATTTGATATCATGAAGTGGCTGTCAGCAACAATAAGGTTCGTATCTGCAGAAGCTCCTCAAACATTTGCGACCCCCACTCTGAGCCCCTGATAACTCGCTAGTTAGTAGGTTGACGTGCATGTACTACGACCACACTAACACCTCAACACATCATTACCTGCAGCAATTCCATACGCAAAACTAATTGACCACACAATAAAAATCAATAACATATAAAGCTTGTTATTATAAGTTTCTACAAATGCCGCAAACACTTCAAACAATACTACGAAACAAACCAAGCTACAAATAACGCAAAGTCCCAGCACCAGCCATCAAGTCTCACTTCTTCTTCTTCCTATGTCGAGGCAGACGACCTTGATCATGATGTGTCTTACAAAACCTATTCGGCGGATTCACCATCCTAGAACACGGCGAACCACTCTTAGTCACCCCATTACACCTCTGGCGCTTCGTGTAATCATACTCTCCCCTCTTAAGTTCAATCCTCGCATCCTTCACCAACTCCGGCGTATACCTCCCATCCGTATCCGTCCACTTCCACCCCCAAGGCGCAGTCCCGGGCGACGGTCTTCTCGGCTGTCTCTTCATATCCGGGGTCACCTCCAGCGTTGGCGGTACCCTATCACTTCTTGCATACTTCCATATCCAACCTCGTGGCCCCTTCGAGGTTTGAGGGTTCATTATGGCTGCTGGAGTCTTGGGTCCCCGGTATACAAGCTCGTATTGTGGGCCGAGACTTCGAGGATCTCTTTTTACCCAATAATGGTCTTCGAATATATATGAGCCGGGCTCGAGATGGTGTTGGATTTTCGTGTAGACGTCCATGCCCTTCCTTCGTTTGGGTTTGGGTCTTTTGATTGTCCACTTGGTATTGATGAGACGGTCCAGAAGCACTGCTCTAGTACCCCCTACTAACTCGCCTCGTTCTTTGAGCTCAGCTTTGAGTTGGTCAACGTTCATTTTGTTGATCGCTTCCTCATCCTTAATCTCCGCATCGTCCGACTCAGTGCTTCGGCTCCTTTTCCCTGGATTTTCCTGTTCATCGCCTCCCTTCGTTTTCTCACCACCAGCCCCCCCATCATCCGTATCACTCCCACTAAAAATTCCAAGCGAAACATCATCATCATCCCCCTCTACATCCAAAATAACAAGTTTAGCATTCTCAAACAGTCGAGCCATCAAATCAAATTTAGAGCCTTGCACAGGAAGGCCGATTCCCACAAGCTCCATTCTAAGCTCATACTGACTCATCCCATCGTATTTCTCTGCCAAATGCGCATTGATCCGCTTGAAAAGATCAGCATGAAGGCACTCTGTCGAGATGCCGAGTCTAACGCATTCTCTTCTCAATTCTTGGGGACTCAATGTATCATACCTTGAGTAATCCACGGGCGCAGACTTTACTTCATCGTCGTCGGTTGCTGGTGATGTGGTCTTACCCTTCTTCTTCTTATTTCTCTCCTCATCTGAGTTCTCATCAATACCCCGTCCGTCTTTACCGCCATCTTTCGCTTTACCACCTCCTGCCCCTTTACCATCTTTTGTCCCTTTAGTACCCCCCTTAACAGTTGGCTCCTTCGGTGGAGGTGGAGGTGGAGGAGCTGGGTTCCATTTCTCCTCGGCCTCAAAAACAGCTCTTGCCCCAACAAACAGACGTTCAATCAACATCTCTCTAGTCGAGAATGCCTTAAAATCCAGACCCGCTCTGATAAGCAGGATCTTGATATCGGCAAAGGTCATCTTCTTGTATTTCACCTCCAAGTACTCGGTGACATCGCGAACCAGTATTGCATGTTCAGTATCGACAGCTACAGGGATCCGCAATCTTGCCAATTCCTTCCGCAGATCGTCGTCTGGAAAGTCTTCGTATCCCGAGTCCCGGTACGGTTTCTTCTTCTTCCCCTTCCCCTTCGCTTTCTGATCTTTCCCCCAAATAACCGCCATGTCCTTCCGCAATTCCTTCTCCTCTTGCACACCCGTCACTAAACGCTCGATAAGCTCCCGCTTCGTCCCTCTCGTTGGGTGCCCACGTTTTCGGCACTTCTCTTGCAACTCTCGAACTGTCAGACCCGTGAAATCTGAGTCATAATCATCCAAGCGATCGACAAGCGATGCCTTCCTGCCAGTCCGTTTCATTCTTCGGACTTTGCATTGTTTTGCTACCTCTTTGACGGTTAGGGAGGCCCAACCGGCAGCGGGTTTGGGGATTTCTACGGGTTCATCGTCGCTGTCGGATGATGTTCCTGCTGCCGCTTTCTTTCCGGCCTCTTTCTTTCGTCTGTCCATATTTTATAAATACCGGGAAGATTGTTTGATTGGAATCTTTGAGTGGGTATGGAGGATCATTGATTGAGTTTTGAAGCCATGGGTTGTATCTTTTGACTTTCGAGGATTAGAGAGCATTGTATGAATTTCTTGGTGCAGTTGTCTTTGTCAAAATATTATTCTTTGTCAAATCGTCGAGTTGGGGCTTTGTGTAATGATATTCTGCTTCCGGTCAATCATAATTCTTTGAGTGATATCCTGAATGGGTCAAGTTCAGGGTAGAAGGCTCTTCGGGTCCTGGAAAAATCTTCCTACTGTGTTCTTCATAAGTTGTTTATTTTCGTAGAACCTACTTAGCGTATTAGACTCGAGTACCTATAGTTAAGTTAAGTAGTCGTGTTTAATTAACTCAACTCGAGTAGTGAAAATCGCTACTTAGCTTAACTCGCTAAGTACTAGATAAACTTATAAGTAACTCAAGTAGTGTTGGCCTAATGCCCCGTAGCCCGCCCAGGCTCGATACTGTAGTATATAGAACGTCTTATTCAGGTTCAAATATTCTAATTAAAATAACTTCGAATGAATAACTTAGTAGAAGTCCTAAAATCAAATTAAAAAACAATATTTCCAACGCGGTCTAGTGAATCAGACCTCTTATTTGGTATCAACCCCAGGTAATCCCAACTCCATCCCCAGCCAATTCATACATCCAAACCTCCCATTACCACCACACGCCCATCCCATCCCCCCAACAATCCAACCACCACCTTCAACTCTCTTAATCAATCCCCCGCACGTTCCAAAAACCCCGGATCACTCCTAACCCTCCCCTCAAACTTCCTCCACCACTCCTCAAAAGCCTTCAACGGCACCACCTCCACACCCCCCTCCAAATTCCCACTAAAACTCGCCAGGAAATTAAAGGCGTTCTTGATGATCCTCTGCGCTAGCATTAACGTATCAGGTTTCTTGTTTGCGAGCACTAATGCGTTTGTTTCCCCGCCCTTCCCATCTCCTGCGTTTTGTGATTGTAAGGAGGCGATTTGGGATGCGACTGTACTGGCGGGCTCGATGGAGATACCGATTGTGAGGGTTGGCGGTGTGGGGGAGGGTGTGAAGGAAGATGAGGGGGGTGAGAGGAGGGAGGGAGAGATCTTGAATATGGCGCTTTCTTTTCCGGGACCGATGCCGCCGAGGAATTTAAATGGTGGTTGCGCTTGGGCTTGCGGGAGGCATTGGGGGAGCGAGATGTAGACTGCTGCTGCGGTGTCGGGTGGCAGCTCAATTCCTGGGTTTTCGCATGCGTGTTAGCTTTTTGGACTGTGGTGGTTTGTATTCTTTCCTTGTGACTTGGGATGGAGAGGGCTAAGATGGGTGGATGTAAGGGGAACTGGAGAGGAAGAGTACACTCACCAGGTAACAAGAAAACCACGATATGCGAGAAGGGCCGTGAGGAATCGAGGGGGATTGTATATACCAGAGATGTTTGCGATGGTGCGCTGGTGGGTGTCAGGATTGGGGCGTGGCCGGTGGGTATGAGGCCAAAGAATTGGAGGATGGGTGGTTGTTCCATTTTTCTGTGTGATGTTTACTCGTGTTGTGAATGGGTTGTTGGAGGTTTGTTGTCTTTGTGGTTGGTGATTGGGAGGGTGTGAATGAGTAAGTGAGTGAGTGAGTGAGTAGGTATATAATAATTGATGGATATGCAGGGAGCCTGCTACAAGCTTCTTTTGCGCACTTTTAGCTTCTAGAAGTATGGTGGGGTTGCGGGGCTGCGGGGTCATGGGCAGCTTTTGACGTCGGGCGCCCTGTGGTGCTCCTGCCCTGTCAGATTAATCAGATCTGTCAACCTCGAAGCCTGACTGGGCTGCGTCAAGGTTGATTGATTGGGACAACACGTTGTTGGCTTTTGGCGCATGGGTGTGATTCACAACAGTACTCGTACCCCTCTATGCCCCTCAGCTCATTATATAAGAAAAGTGGAGGAGATATCTGACAGTCTACAACCTTTGAATTGACATACCTTTTTGCTTCTCCACGAAATACAACTTCTTGTCCAATCTCCGTCCCAAGAGTCGCCATATTGTACAAGAGACTTGCCTTGGATCAGATATCTAGGTGGAATCAGAGGACGATACTTGCCCGATACTGAAATTGGCTTACGGGCTCTCAACTGCTTGGCTTGGTATCTTGTGCAGATATTGTACTGGACAGGTGTACAAGATGAAGTCATATCTGGATCTGATCAAGGAATGTGATGCGTAAGTTGAGAATTTTTGGTTTGGATATTTGTGCATTTTCCAACGTTGAACTCATCAGCTAGGCAGCTCTTGGTATATATAATATTGATATGATTCAATCTCCACATGTTTCTAACAGACTTTCTATCTACAACTTCCTTGAATTCCAAGGGCGATGTCTGCACATCTATACCCTTCCTTATCAAACTGCTCTTCTCAAGATACATGTATTAACACAACCACAGATTTCCCTACCCTGGAACTCCCGAACACAACACCCTCATCTCAACACTCTGGACCCTAACAACCACCTCACCAAACCATGCTGACCCCATTCCCGTGGGCTACCTCCTGGAACCCCTCGCCAAAAAGCTCATCGAAGCCCTCACCGCAACCGAGAGCAAGAACGACCCCTCCAACCCTCCCACAGGCACCCCAGAATTCGAAATCAACACCTCAACCCGCACCATAAAAGCCTTCACCCAGCCCACCGAAAGCTTGCGTTCCGCCGCCGTCGCAAAGATCCTAAGAACATGGGGTGACCACCAAACCTTCTCCGTCCTCTCTGGCTGGCGCAACGAGCTCTACCCCATCTACGGACCCAACAACGAGTTACTATTTACCATGGAGCGCAGCGCCAGTCCCTTATTCGGGATCAACACCTATGGCGTACACATGACATGCTACACCCCAATTAGCGACCACGAAAAAACCACATCCGGCTCAGCGTTCGATTTCAAACTCTGGATCCCGCGCCGGAGCAGGACGAAACAGACGTATGGAGGGATGCTCGACAACACCGTCGCAGGGGGAATTTCCTCTGGCGAAAACCCCTTTGAAAGCATCATTCGCGAAGCCGACGAGGAGGCCTCGCTGCCTTCTGAGCTGGTTCGCGCGAATATCCAGCCAAAACGGACGGTTTCTTATATCCATGTCCGTACCGCGGCGGCGGGTGGGGAAACGGGCCTCATCATGCCAGAGATACAATATATCTATGACCTGGAGTTACCGAACGATTTCATCCCAAAGATCAAGGACGGCGAGGTGGAGGCGTTTTATTGTTGGACGGTTGAGGAGACCATCGGGCATTTGGTGAGGGGAGCGTTTAAACCGAATTGTGCGCTTTGCTTGGTGGATTTCTTTATGCGGAGGGGGGTTTTGACGAGAGTTGAGGAGGGAGAGGGGCAGTGGGAGGTGATGGAGAGGGGGTGTCATAGGATTTTACCGTTTGCTGTTTGGGCTGCTTCTGGGGAGAGTGAGAGTTGAGGAATGAGGGGTTGTGTGTTGAAAGAGGAGTTTTTACATAGATTCCTGGTTGGAAGATGTATATTCGGGGTATTACATACCTACCTTACTTCTACCCTTGATAGATGACTTACATACGCGATAGAGATAATAGACTGAATAGAGATTTATTATTACTTTTATTTCGTGTTTGAAAAAACCTATTTTTTCGGACCTCGAGCTCGACCTCTTTTTAGGAAGTTGTCTTAAGCGAGACTATAACAATCCTATAAATAAACCATAACACTAACTCTAGCTTCTTCCTTATTATAACAATACGACAGTAACTTACCCATAATAAACTACTTTAAAATTAATCTTTTGAATATCTCTTCTAATATTCTATTAAAGAATTATTTAGCTTTCCGAACTTTCAAGAGAGGTTTAGATTAGAATTATAGAAGTATTACTTGGGTACTTAGTATCCTATTCCTATAGATTAATATAAATTATATCTAGAGTACTAACTTAGAGGGGAAAGCGGAGTTTTTTTAAATAATCTAGAGACTTTTAAAATAAGGTTTTATATAGAATCTAGTGTTAGGGAAAAAACCGCTAGGTAATAAAAGAAGAGCGGTTTATATATAAAGATAGTTTTAAATATTAGATAGTTATATCAATAAGATTATTAAGAATAGTTTCTTGTATATAAAAGCGTACTAAGACTATTTGTCACGAATCACGTGTTGGCATGTGATAAGTAAAGACCAGGCGGCGTCCTGACAGGTTAAGCACCATCAACACACTCTTATAGCAAATAGGGATGCTTAGGCTAGCTAAGCGATCCAGGGATTTCATCTGATAGAAGTTATGTGACCGTCATTGATCATTGGTGATCAACTGAGCAACGCTGAGCTGGATCAGTGGGATCAGGGTGATCATAATGATCAACGAGCAAGAAGGTTCTATATAAGACTGGCACGTCTGCCATTAGATAGGAGCTTCGTGCTCAACTTAGTTATCAATCTTATCATATTAGTTTGACATCTTTGATACAAGTAACGAGTTCCCTTCCAAGTGAACAACCCGATAGTCTTCTTCTTATCATAGCATACCAATCAGCGAACACCCAGCCAAGTTTAGTTAGCCAGTTTGAGTATTCGTTACAAATATATCCTCTATAGTATTTTCTATTATAAAGAAAATAAGTCTTTAAACTAGATCTATATTAGCTTTTAGATAAATTACTATTAACGCTTTACTATCTACGCTAACCTAGGGTAATATACTTAGTAATATAAGCCTCTTCCTTATCAGATACTACCTTACCTAGTATTACTTAGTTTATCTTTTCTTTATATAGAACCTTAATATTATATAAGTCTTAAATCTTATCCTTACATAATATAAGTAATTAATATTTTAGTAAATTAATAGTAGCTATAAAATAGTCTAGTATACTGTAACGAATACTCAAACTGGCTAACTAAACTTGGCTGGGTGTTCGCTGGTTGGTATGCTATGATAAGAAGAAGACTATCGGGTTGTTCACTTGGAAGGGAACTCGTTACTTGTATCAAAGATGTCAAACTAATATGATAAGATTGATAACTAAGTTGAGCACGAAGCTCCTATCTAAT